AGCCTCCCAAGTAGGTGCAACTTTAGGTACATGCCAAGCTTGCCCTTATAGGTTTTCATGTGGACAAGACAGTATCATTAACTGCAGGCATACTGTCTCACAGCTGAGCTCCAGAAGTTACTCATTCTGCCTAACAGACTTTACACCAGCTGAATAGCCCATTCTTCCCCCACTCGGCCCCTGACAACCACCTCTCTATTCTCTTCTGAGTTTGACTCTGTGTGTGTGTGTGTGTGTGCGTGTGTGTGTGTGTGTGTGTGTGTATGTTAGAATTCAGGTCCTGTATCACTTCAGCCACACCCCCAGCCCTTTTTTGCTTGTTTTTTGCCAGGGCTGATGTAACAAGGATACAGACATGCATCACCACACTCAGTCTGAGTTTGACTATTTTAGATACCTCATGCAAGTGTAATCATGCAGCATTTGTCCTTCTGTCTTACTTCACTTAGCGTATTGATCTATGTTGTCACAAATGAGTGAAGGAAACCCAACTAAGATCACCGTTTTATAATGTCTCTTTGACAAGAATCATTTTGAGCTAAATGTAATTAAGAATTCACATACATAGGAAAAGCTCTCTGCCCTTCACCTATTTGCCTAAAAGCAGGACAACAATTTAGGAAGGTGTCCCCTCTTCCCTCTCCATCAAGGACAAGTTAATTACTAGAGAAAACTCTAGACCTGTAGCAGTGGAGGCATCTTCACAACAGACTTTTCCCATTAGTAGTATTGTTTTCCCTTACATTTGCATTCCCACAATTTGCCACCCCTAGGGACTCAAGGTCCTTTTCCTTTGTCTTGCCACTTCTGACTGGTTTTATTGCTCCTTTACTGAGATGCTATATAAACTCAAGTTCTAACTAAACCTTTGTGTTCCTCATCTCAGGGAACTCCTTTGTGTTACATGCATTACACATGAGAATAAACTGGTTTTCCAGGTGTTTTTCCGTCTTTTCTCAGTCTAATTTGTAGGGCTCTGGCCTAAAAACCAAAAATGGGTGGAATTGATAGAACAATAATGTCGCCATTTTGTAAATCGGTGGCCATTTTACCCTCTGGTCTCACTTGAGAAATGGAGCCACTCCCAATGACAGCCCTGCCCTTAAACAGAAATTCCCACGCTCTAAGACAAGCTCCCCCCCTACTGGAGACTCCTGCATATGTGCTAACTTCCTTAACCTCCCTCCTCTATAAAAGCCACACCTGGCCCAGAGTCAGCGCTGCACTATCTTTCCCCGGCCAGCCTGGCAGTTCGGGCTTGCCATTAAACTTTGCTCTTGGATGTGAGACTTTTCTTGTGAGCTTTCTTTGTGAGTGGCATTTTTCCTAACATTTTGGTGCAGTGACTCGGATCGGGTGCACTTCCAGTGCTGACCTTGCTCTCCTGGCCCCCTCCCATCTCTCTCCTCTCTCTCTCTCTCTCCAAACTCCCAATCTCTTCCTCTGGGATCTGAGCTGCTTTGCCAGAACCCCTGATCCTAGAAGACACCCTCATTGCTCACAGGGAATTTCCTCTGCCCCAGCACACCTCCAATCACCATCCACCACCAATCCTCCCTCAAGGTCCTCTCACGGTGAGTCCTTGCACTCAGAGCCATGATCTCTTTCTCATTTCCTCAAAATCCTAGTGCTAGGTCTTGGCTTGCTCTCATCCCTGGGGACCGGGTCCCCTAGGACTTTGGGCCCTCCAGTGACAGAGACGTCCCTCTCAGGTGTTCCACCTCTACTCCCTCCTGAGGAACCTATATCTCAGGGACGCCTGTCATATCCTCTCCTCAGTTCAGCCTCACCATGGGAGTTGGACTGTCCAAAATTCCTTCGGACTCTCCATTGGGATGTGTCCTGGCCAATCTTAGGCCTCTTCACGTAACACCTGATCTTAAGCCACAAAATCTCATTTTTCTCTATAATCAGGCTTGGCCCCAATATCCATTAGACAATGCCTCCAAATGGCCACTTAATGGCAATTTCAATTCCAATATTTTAAGGGATTTATACAATTTCTCTGAGCGTGCTGGTGAATGGAAATACCCTATGCCCAATCCTTTTCCTATCTCTGCACCAAACCCTCCCTCTGTATTTCCTGTTCCCCTGCACAGGTTTTATTAGCCTCTAAACTAGCTTCTAAATCAACCAAATCCTTTCTTGAACCTCCTCTTTCTCCATGTAAGCAGACTTCCTTGCACTGCTCATGCTGCCTGTCTCTTCCTATCTTCCTGAGGGACTTTCCTGTTATGGTGTTGAGCCAGCCACTCCTTGACAACTCTGGCCTCACAGCAATTCTGGCTCTGGGGGAGTTCATGCTCCCTCCCTGTGGGCCGAGACCAAGCCCGGGGTTTATTCAGGTATACCTCATGCTACATTGGGCGAGTCCTGTTTGATTATGGCATCTGACAACTGCTTCTCTTCCCCCCCCCCCCCCCCGTCTAATGCCTGAGACAGTGACTCAAGAATGGAGGTTTCATGTTGTTGGAAGTGTTCCAGTACCAGTCAATGGGAGCGACCTAGAGGTACAGGTGATGGCTAATCCCTCAGGTGTATGTCATGCCTCCAGGCTCTGCTTTCCCCTCCCTTACCTAAGATGTCAGGACACCTTTCCTGCTCCCTCCATGGTCCCACCGTGTGTCCTTTGTCTCTGTCTGCCTTCCCCTCCCTGGGCTTACTGGAACCCTGCCTCCCATGAAAAACTTGAATCATGGTACCTTATGACTTAAGTTATTCCAACTAGTTTGCCAGGCCTCTCGGTCCAAAGCAACTTTAAATCAACTGCTGGGCACCAGCGAGGCAAAAGCATTTAAAAAAAAACTGCGGCTGCCACATTCATGCCCTAACTCCACCCCCACACAAGGGGAGGAAGGAAAACAAACAGGGTGCTCATGCACAGGGTTGCCAGCCCCTGGGCACAGCAGGAACACCTGCCACAGCTAAGAGAATCCATAGAGAGGACCCAACACACATCCTAGGCCACCAGCCACACATGGTGGTGGCTGCGGCCCGCCACCACTTCCCCTAGAATAAATGTGCGCAGGCACGAGTTCACAGGAATGGGGGAGGGATAACAGGCTGCAGGATCAGACCTAGGCAGACAGGGTCGCTTGTCCCAGGTGTATGTGTGTGGGGTGGGTGGTGCCTTGCGCAGGCCCTGCTCCCAGCCCCACCTCATGCCTCAGGCCACCAGACTCACCCCTTGTAAGACAATTTGTAGCTTAAGGTTATAGTCCCAGGAACAGCAAAATGGGCATTACTGTGGTCTCTGAACTTCTCATTTAAAATTTTCTATACTTTTGGCCTCAGCATAAATTTTCCCTACAAATATTAGCAGTAGTCGCCCCTTATATTCTGTAAAAGGAAAAAAAAGTGAACTGAGGTCCCCCATACAAATTTTCTTTCATCTCTGAGACCACCCAGCTTGGCTCCATAATTACTATCTAGATACTCAAACACTGGCCAATCTTTGTAAGCCACAGGATAAACATGGGGAAGGAGGACCAGAAAAACCCATTATCAATGACAAGACCCCCACCCCTACTGCTCCATCCCGTGCCCTAGCTTCTAAGCCACCCCAATATTCAGAACCTCCTAATGGGTGCTTCCCCCTTCAACAGGCAATGGTAGGAAGAGGGCGAGTCTATGTCCCCTTCCAGTTATCAGATCTAAGGGAGATTAAAAAACATCTGGACAGCTATACTGATGCCCCAGACCAATACATCCAAGCTTTATCTCTGTGATCCAAACCTTTGAATTGGCATGAAAGGATATTATGCTTCTACTAGACCACACTCTTTCCTCATTAGAAACGCAATGGGTAGAAATTCCTAGTCTCAAGGCAGTATGTGTCTGGCAAGAGTAACTTCTTTTGATATTCGATTTTAAAAGGGCACTGGATGATAGCAATTAAATAATGTTTATCCCACATGGTCCTAAAAGATACATGAATACTCTGGGCCACTGGTAGGTAGTAGCAAGGGGCATTTCTTCCTAGACATTCCAATCCCCCTCGTTGTTCTGGAACACTGAACAAGAACATATAACCAAAACTCCTTTGTTCATGCTTTTAACCTTTTCTGACTTCATCCTCAAACAAATTTCCTTTTTTTTTTGGTGGTATTGGGATTTGAACTTAGGGTTTCATGCTTGCTAGGCAGGTCTCCTACCACCTGAGCCCATTTTGCTGTGGTTATTCTGGAGATAGGGTCTCACTTTTTGCCCAGAACAACCTGGACTGCAATCCTATTTTATACTTCTTGCTATAGCCACCATGCCTGGCTTTCCCTCCACTGTTGACATGGGGGTCTCATGAACCTTTTTGCACCAGCTGGCCTGCAACCATGATGCTCCTGATCTCAGCCTCCCAAGTAACTGGAATGACAGGTGGGTGCCACTACAACCAGCTGTAAACAAATCTCTTTCTTTTACATGTGAAATAAAACATCAAATTCTACAAAGCAGAGTGTCCATGCCTTCAAATCTTAACACTTAAATGGCGTGACATCTGGGAGAACTGCATCCTGGACCACTGTTCTGACTCCCTTGACTTCAGGGAAGAAGAAGTAGGAATACAACATTAAATATCTTAGCAAAATTTTTTTATTCTTCTTGCCAATCTCTCTTGACATTTAATTAACAAAATGATAAATAACAAGAAATGATCTTGGCTTCGTATCACTTTAAAAAAGCATTAAGAAAGTAGCTGTTTAGAAAAAAAGGAGGTCCACAGATTTTTTTCTTTAAAAAAATTAGAATCATAAAAAGTGAGAATCCTATCTCAAGAAAATATGTGATCAATATATGTCAGACTAACACACCTTCCAATAGCCTTTATTCAAACTAGAATTCTCTGTCTTTAGAAGAAACTTTTAAAAAATGTTTTCAGTGATAGGATAGAGCCCAGGGCCTCCCGTTGCCCTACTGGGCTTTTCCAGAAGTACTTCACAACTAACAGAAGTCTTGCCAGCTTACTTTTTTTTTTTTTTTTTTTTTAAACTCTCTTAGTGCTAGGGATTGAACCCAGGACCTCATGAATGCTAGGCAAGAGCTCTACCACTTGTGCCTGCCAGCATAACTTCTTTAGTGGGTAAGCAGAGGTATGATAACAGAATCACAAGAAGCCAGGAAGAAAGGGGGAGGGTACAGCCTGATAATTACCCTTCAATCGTTTAAGCCAGGATATAAACTGCATGACAACACCTCTTACCCACTACATCAAAACATCTCCACAGTGACCTTCCTGCCTCACTTCCCAGGGTTGGAAAGCTTAATGAGGAAGGAGCCTGTATTGTTTGTGAAATGACAAAATACTTTCACTTTGTCTTAGTTTTTGAAGTGCAGCTCTTCAAGAATTTCAGTCTTTAAAAAATCACCTGTAAGGAAAGAAAAAAATAAATGTATTTAATTTAAACAGTGGCTTTTAACATTCCCACATTAAACATCAAGTCAGGTTTACACAGTCCAGAAGATCTGTGTGTAATAGGGTGGGGCCCTATCAGAAGGTGCGGCCCGGAAGGTCTGAGTGAGGGACAGCAGGAAGGAGACCCCGCCTGCTCCTTCTGTCCTTCTCCTCACTGATGGGCTCATGGGTGCCCAAAATAAATTCTGCAAGTATCCTTTGCCTTTAGAATTTGTCATCTGGGGCTGCAAAGGCATTGGCCTCACATGTACTTATTCACAGATTTATTTATTTATTTATTTTTAATTGTTTTATTATTCATATGTGCATACAAGGCTTGGGTCATTTCTCCCCCCCTGCCCCCACCCCTCCCTTACCACCCACTCCGCTCCCTCCCTCTCCCCCCAACCCCCTCAACGCCCAGCATAAACTATTTTGCCCTTATCTCTAATTTTGTTGAAGAGAGAGTATAAGCAATAATAGGAAGGAACAAGTGTTGCTGGTTGAGATAAGGATAACTATACAGGGAGCTGACTCACATTAATTTCCTGTACGTGTGTGTTACCTTCTAGGCTAATTCTTTTTGATCTAACCTTTTCTCTAGTTCCTGGTCCCCTTTTCCTATTGGCCTCAGTTGCTTTAAGGTATCTGCTTTAGTTTCTCTGCGTTAAGGGCAACAAATGCTAGCTAATTTTTTAGGTGTCTTACCTATCCTCACCCCTCCCTTGTGTGCTCTCGCTTTTATCATGTGCTTAAAGTCCAATCCCCTTGTTGTGTTTGCCCTTGATCTAATGTCCACATATGAGGGAGAACATACGATTTTTGGTCTTTTGGGCCAGGCTAACCCCACTCAGAATGCTGTTCTCCAATTCCATCCATTTACCAGCGAATGATAACATTTCATTCTTCTTCATGGCTGCATAAAATTCCATTGTGTATAGATACCACATTTTCTTAATCCATTCGTCAGTGGTAGGGCATCTTGGCTGTTTCCATAACTTGGCTATTGTTATTCATAGATTTATTACATGTACTTTTGACCAAGTGTGGCCCAATAAATAAATAAATAGCCAGGTGCAGTGATCACGCCTGGAATCACAGCTACTTGGAGATCGGGAGGATCACAGTCAAGGCCAGCTGGGGCAAAAACATGAGACCCTATCTAAAAAAAATAACTAAAGCAAAAAAGGGCCGGGAGTGTGGGTCAACCAGTAGAGCACCTGCCTGGCAAGCACAAGGCCCTGAGTTCCAACCCCAAATCTCAAAAACAAAAATTTTTAAATTCTCAGGAGGGCATTACACATCTGTTACAGTAGATGTAGAGAAGCACCATATTATTGTCGGTTTTGTTTAAATCGTTGTGTGATCTGCTGAGTGTTTCCCTGTCCTTCATTTTGTGAAAATCTGCCTCCCAAAAAGAAAATGGTGCCCAAAACAAGGTAAAAGTGAAAGTGCTTAATTTAAACGATAAAGTGAAATTTTTAGATCTGTTGAAAGGCAGCATGTCTTTAGCAGAAGTTGGGCACCATTATGGGAAAAATGAATCAAGCATCTGCAGCACTCAAGATTAAAAGCGTAAAATAAGATCTTTTTGGTGAGCAGTATTACTGTGTGGTTTCAAGTAATGGATGCTTGGACCAACTGTATGTACAGTATAGATAAATTGGGAGTAATTTTAGAGTACTGAACGCTACGTATCCTGTGCATTAGTGTGTCTTCCTCAACAGTGGTCTCCTTGGAACCATATACCTGCAGATACCAAGGGGCCACTGTATTGTGAGCCTCCATGTATGGGAAGAGATAATACTTGCCCTGAGAACAGGGGATTTTAAGGGGGAAAGGGCATAGATGAAGATTTCAGTTTCATACAAACAATTTAAAATAAACTACCCATTAATGATGATCATATGCCAAATGCTTGTCAGACAATATTCTGTACATTTCAAGGAGGCTACCACTTTCCAAGCCAAATTCCAGCCCCCTGCACCCCAGCCCTGCCCAAACAACAACAACCTGAACAACAATCTCGGGCAAACCTTTCATGCACAGGTGAATTCATTCTTCTGCTTACTTTCAGCTCAGGTTTCGGATCCTAGTCATGTACTTGTCTGGGCTGGCTGCACTCATTACGGTAGTATAAATCGTGTAGCTGAAAAGAATGAGATGGATTTTTACATCTGCATCATCCCCCCCCTTAGTGTTCCAAAGAGGAAAGGGGAAATATCAAGGCCTTCCCTAACACTTGGGATCTAAGACAAGAATACAAATAGAGGCCCATATATGTCAGAATGTGTAAAATGACAAAACAAGAGGTCAAAATATTCTTTCCTTCTATTTTGACAACACTATGGAAGACTAAGTTGGAATTTAAAATTCTGACTCCTCAAAGCTCCATGCTGTGTCAGTAAGTGAAAGCCAGCCATTGGCCCTCAAGCCAGCTGTGTCCTATCCCACAAGGAGCTTCCTTGTACATAAGTCAAACCTCAGCCTTCTCATCTAAGCTGTATCCATACCCCCTCAGCAGACAGCCCCCTCACAGTCCCCATCAAGACAGGGTGTCCACAATGGCTGTTCATTACCATCAGGGGACACCGTTCAGGGAAGAGGACCACACAGACCCTAGAAATGGGCTTGGAGTTGTTCAGGCTGAGAATCCTAGGGTCCTGAACACTTGTACCAGTCACTGTGTGGGCATAAACCCCTGGCACAGTGGACTCCTTGTATGAAGAGAGGATCATGACTAGAAAAAGACCAGAATGTAGCCTCAAAATCTCAGGGATTAAGGGAGATGCCCCCCCTTACCCAGATCCAAGGCTGAAAAATGCAACGTCATTTATTCTACACTCTGCATAGGAAGACACCTAATCATGAGCTTATGTGTACACACACACTTTTTCCCCTTCACTCCCTTCTCTATCACTGGTCTTAGAAACCAGCATCTGGAGCTGTTCAGACACAGGCAAACTTCCAGGCCCTGAGCCCCCAGCTGAATCACACATCCAGCTGAATACAGCACTATGAACACCTAAACAGCTATCAACAGCTAACAAACTTTCTTCAATAGTACCTCAGCTGTTTGCTTGCTTTAGTCTACTCTCAATCACTGTTTTAACTTTTTCTCATCTGGCAGGATGGACTTCTATTCCCATTGGTGTGTACAGCACAAGGAAACAGCAGAAAGCCAACTGTGTAAATTCAGACTTGGTTCTACTAAGCTCACATACCCAATAACCTTGAGGTTGATCATTACTTATAAAGGGCCTGAGAATCTGAGATCTGTGTTTCCTGGGGCTCAGTGGTGACTGTCATGAAATGCAGGTCCTGTTGGGTTTTCAACTATACCATAGAGAAAAAGAATGCTACCTAATAAACTGTTTATAACTTCTAACAATTTTATTTTGACAAAATATTTCAGAAGCCACCTAAATACTCATAGCCACTAATTCAGTAATTGTACTTCTGGGAATTCAGTCAGGGAAATAACTGAATGTACAAATATATTTGTTTCATAGTTTTAATGGAGGAAAAACTAACAAGTAGCTAGGCGCCAATGGCTCACATTTGTAATTCTAGCTGTCGGGAGACAGAGATCAGAAGGATCACAGTTCAAAGCCAGACCAAACAAACAGTTCAAGAGACCACATATGGAAAATATGCAACACAAAAAAGGGCTGGCAGGGTGACTCAAGTGGTAGAGCACCTGCCTAGCCAGAATGAGGCCCTGAGTTCAAACTCCAGTACCACAAAACAAAAACAAACCTAACAAGTGAAGAATGCTTAATCATAATTTGCCATTATGAAGCTATTTAAAATTGTGACGGCTATTCAGAGCATAGAAAATGTTTTGTTTTATTAAAATAAATATAACTTTCATAAAATGAATTTAAAAAAATAGTCAGTATATAATCACTTCAAAACTGTAAGAACAGAAAGATAGTTTTAAGCCCCTATTTATTATGTATTTATTTTTATATGGCTGTATCTGTGATGCTGGGAGCTGGACCATGCTAGGCAGGTGCTCTACCACTAAGGTAACCCCCAACCCTAACCTCAATTCCCCCATGTACTAGGGATTGAGCCAAGGGGGCCTCATGCATCTATAACTTGAGCTATGCCTCCAGCCCTTTTGTTTTTATCTTATTTTTGAGAAGGGTCTTGGTATTTTTGCCTCTACCTTGAGAGTAGCTGGGATTACAGATATGCCTCACCATACTTGGCCTTGATCTCTATATTTAAAATGAGTATTAAAAGACCAAACTTGTGCTTCACTAGGAGGAATACATTTAACAGTGTGTTGAAGTTGGTTCCTATAGGCTAGTAAGAGTCAAAAAATATCAGTAAATTTGTGAGCCAATCTTAAGTTTGAAATCAGCCATGGTGGAAGTATAGGTTACGTATCACTATTCCAAAACTCCAAAATCTAAAAGGCTCCAAAATCTAAACTTTTTGAGTGTTGGGTCAGCATTCAAAATCTCTTTGGATTTCAGATTTTCAGATTAAAGATGCTCAATAGGAAAAGTCTAGGCAAATATTCCAAAATCCAAAAACTCTAGAATCTAAAATACTTGTGGTTCCAAGCATGTTGGGTAAGGGATACTCCAACTTGTGTTTATAACATGGAAATCAACAAATGCAAATCAGGAAGTTGTTTTCCTTCTTCCCCCAAAGAGCCAGTTTACTACAGACCACTGAGTGTGATTTGTAACCCGAATAGCACATTTGTTCTTAAGACTATTCATTTTAAAACTATTTTTGTGTTCTTACAGTTTTAATTATGCAAGTGATGACCATGTTTTTAAAAATTAGTTTTATAACAGTTTCTTTTTAACAAAACAGCATTTTCTAGGCCTTGAATAGTTCTTATAATTTTAAATGGTGGTAGAATACTAATTTGTTTTCTGTATTTGACTGTTAGAATACTGGCAGGCTGGTGGAGTAGCTCAAGTGGTACAGCACCTGCCTAGCAAGCTCAAGGCCCTGAATTCAAACCCCAATAACACAAAAAAGAAAAAAAGAATATTGTTTGTAGGTAGCCGGTGGCTTGTACCTGTAATCCTAACTACTCAGGAGGTAGAGATTAGGAGGATCAAGGTTTAAGAGCAGCTCACACAAAAAGTTCATCTCAACAGAGAAGGCTGGGTGCCTGTCATTTCAGCTACTGTGGGAAGCTGACTGGCCTGCACAAATATTGAGACCCTACCTCCAAAATAGGTGGCAGAGCACTTGTCTAGCAAGCACAAGGCCCTAAATTCAAACCCTACTACCACCAAAAGCAAAATATTGTTTGTGAAATAAAAAATTTAACTGTTACTCCTTTCATTAGACCATACTTAAAGAAAAAAACTTTCAGGGAGAAGGGCTAAGAAAGAGTAACACAGGGGCTGGAGGTGTGGCTCAGTGGTAGGCAGACTGCTTGCCTAGCAAGCGCAAGGTCCTGAGTTCAACCCCCAGACTGCTGACAACAACAAAAGAGTAATATAAACGTACATTATGTGCAAAGTGTAAATATCCCAATGAGGGCATCAGGGTGTGAAGCCCTCGGTTTCATCCTCAGCATTGGGAAAAAAAAAGAAAGAAAAATGAGGAAAAAAGAAAAAGTTTCAAATAAGATATTTTGGAGATATATTCCTATTATGGTGCCAAGTGAAAAAAAAATATGCCAGTTTGGAAAATGTCATTATACTCAAGAATCTTAAGGCACCCAGACACACTTATTCCAGATGACACCAGGAAAAACACTATTTCATGTAAAATAGGATCATTTCAGGGCTGGCGGTGTGGCTTAAGTGGTAGAGCACCCACCGAGCAAGCACAAGGCCCCAAGTTCAGACCTCAGTACTGCCAAAACCCAAAAAGGATCATTTCAAAGGAAAAATCGACTGGGTATTAGAACCTAAAAAAAACACGTTTAGGTCTCATTTGTCTTTTTAGGTTTTATTAGGCTATTTCTTGAAGAATGCTAGTTTGATACTCATGCCGTAGAGAAAGCAGAGATAAGAAAGTAGGAAATGCTGGATTTGGGAGTTTACTAAAACAAAGGAAGGAAATAAACTCTGTTTTTGCTTCTTCTATTTTAGAAATTAAACCCTATCACACTAAGCATAAGAAGGTGTCTATACTGCCAAGGAGCTAGTTTTCAGTGTGGATAAGCCAGTGAGTCCCATTCTCAAGGCCACTTCTAGAGTGGGTGATGAGGAGGAATCACTGTCTACTCAGCTTTGCTGAAAGGTGGCGGTGAGTCTCCAGAATTTACTGCACAGCTTTGGTGGCAGCTGCCTCTCAAGTTGAACTAAAAGTTTCCTGCAGTGTGGGTCCAGAGCTTCAGGAAAAGTGTATGGGTAAAATCCCAGGCTCCATGCCGGAGAAACCATGCCACAGAATGGTATTATCAAGAGTACAGGCTAAAGATAGAAATGCTAACTTACTGAATTGTCTGTGGAAGTAGGAACAGCACAGGGGCAGGTATGGAAACTCCGTGGGAAGATAAAGGAAAGCCGAAGGTGTCCAAAGCTGAGTACTAACAGAGAGCTCATGAACCCATGATGGTGTTGATCACTGTGAGGCAGCTATCAGGCTGAGGCTCTTCTCCTTTCAGTCACTCCATTCCCCTTACCTTTGGTTTTCTTCATGAATGTCTCACCTAACTGGAGATATATTTGTTTATCTCTGTCCTCTCCCCTCTCCCTCACTAGTACATTGGTACCAGAAGGCTTGGTTTTGTTCACTGCAATATCCACAGCACTGCATACCTGGAACAGGGGCCCTCATCCTGGTGATGTGTAGGTGAGGGCACCTTCTGGGGCGACAAATGAACAGATGTTCTTAACATGTCACTTACTTGTTATAAACTGGAACCACCGATAAAACCTGCATTGGAAAAATATTACAAGAATTTTAAAAGGTAGAAGAAATACATGTAGAATATCTTTTGGAAGAATATAAACACTTAACATTTCAGTGTATCTGGGAGTGACAGGTACAGACCTTTTAATTTTTGCTCTTTTTCTTTTAGACAATGACCATATATTACAACTATGTTTATTTCTTTTAAATATGAAGGAAAACTTAGGTGAATATTGGCACTTTAATCTGTACAGAAACAAGTTTGGAATATGTTATTTGACTTTAAAAAAATGTTTTCAACTGGATAGAACTTTTACTGCAATGTTTTGTTTGAGTTTGGAGAATTTTTCTTTGTCACTATTAAGGAAGAAACACATACACAACAACAACAAAGACAACAAACATCTTGGGTAAGGTGGACATAGGTGATACCAGTTACCTGGAAAAGCGTATCCAGGCTGAGGTTTGCTTGCCCTGTGGCGTTTAGGGCTTTGATGGCAGGTGTTCTGTAAGGACAATGGTCAAAGGTCACTAGGCATTGCAGGAAACCCCGAATCCCATCAGCTGTCATTTGGGAGGCTCCATACAAGTCCTAGTCTCATTATCTACCTTTCTTCAATAGATTCTGGCTCCCAGGCATGACTGCTGCTTTGGCTAGGTCTCATCAGGTGGGATTCATTCTATAGCTGGGCCTCTTGGCCCCATGTGCTCCAGGAAGCTGGGACAGTTGTGCAGGACTAAATCGTTGCCACTGAATATGTGGGCAGTAAAGCCAAGCCAGGTATACAGCTACCTGCTCTTTGGAGACACACTGACTAGAAGAATTTTCAGTTAGAAGGGACAATGAAAGCCCTGCATTGGTTTATCTACTTAAAGGGAATGTTTTACTTCCAAAAAAAATCTTACTTTTGAATCTGACCCTCTCATTTTATTACAAGTAGGTGAGGAGAGGCCCTCTCATAGTGAGGTCACATAGTGAGTCACTACCTGTGGGATCCAGGGCTCCTGACTGCTACCACCACAAGCTACCAGGAGGCCCTCCCTACTACCTCCTCCACACACCGCATTTCCTACCCCAGTCAAGGCAGTAGTGAGGGGACCAGGTGCACTTTCTGGAAGGGGACAGCACTGTAGGTCTCTCCAGTCCTCATGGTAGCAAGGGGGACATTCTCCTGACCACAAGAAAACAATGCAAATCAGAAAGTACAAAGAAGCCTACCTTCGGTCATCTCTCTTAGGTGCTGGCTTCCAATGGTCATAATTTGTCTCAACTCGGAACCACCTACAACAGAACACATCATCTTGTCTTAGCCAAGGTTACAAAATAAAAATATCTCTAGTTTCACCAAATTAAAAAAAAAAGATTTGATTCAATTCTACTTACGCTCCATTCAAAGGATCTAGAGGCCAAATGTCTGCTGGGCCACCTCTGTTTCTGGTGATGACCACTCCCTCCCGGGGGGATGTACCACCAACGATGTAATAAACATCAGCAATGAGGGGAGTCTTGGCCAATTTGAATACAGCTGCTTCAAAGTTTTCTGCCTCACTCAGGGTCTGAGCAAAAAGACAAACCAACACTGACAACAGCACCCCACACAATGGTCCACACAGAATAACAGACAAATGGTCCAGAGCACATTCTCCTGGAATATTAATTCTGGGCTACAGCCTTGAGTGGCTCCGGCCTTATCCTCTAGTCAACAAGGCTCCTGACAGCGAGGAGCCTCCCCTCCCTGTCTTCAGGAACAGGGAGCCAACAACAGCAGGAATTTCTCCTGAAAGGATAGAACTGTGGACAAGTCCTAGCCTTGGTTCACCAAGCCTGGGCTGGGTCCTTTCTAGGTGGAGCACCTTCACAAGGACTCTCTTGTTTCTCCATTTAGTTTTTTCTTTCTACAGGTATTTCTTTCTTTCTCTTTCTTTCCTGTTTTCTTTTTTGACAGTACTGGGGATTGAACCCAGGGCCTTGTGCGCACTCTACCACAGAAGCCATGTCCCCAGTCCCTTTTGCTTTTTTAGTTTGTTTTTCAAATAGGGTCTCCAGCTAACTTTCCCCGGGCTTGCCTCCTATCTCTGCCTCCCAAGAAGCTGAGATTATAGGCCTCCTCCACCATGCCTGGCTCGCCACAGGTTTTCTCAAATATTGGTGTGTGCTTGGCACTGTGCTGGAGTGAGGCTAGAGCAGTAAATATGACTGACCTGGTTCTTGTTCTTCTCAGACCTCCAAGGGAGACAGAAAAGTTAGCAGCAATGGTGACACAGTAATTAACAGGTGCTGCAAGTGTTATCATTGGTGGTTATGAAAGTCATAGCAGGGACAGTAGAGGCTGCATACCAGGGAAGTTCTACAAGGGCTAAGTCAGAAGGGACAAAAAGTTAGATTATGAAAGCAGTGGCTTCAGGATGATGAGTGGGAGCTGGGCAGAGAGTTCTGGCTCCACGGATTCAACTGGCAAAGGCTTGGGATGAAAGAGTGCATGCATGCTACATTAGAGCGGGGAGCTTAACTGGTGTCTTGACTGCCTGAGGGTCCGTGAAGACTTCCAAAGATCTGTGGCACTGACAAATCCTCAGCTTTCATCTGTGCTCCTTCCCCATGTTAATCTATCTACTCAAGAACACGCTGCAGAAGGGGCCTGCCTGTCACACCGCCACTGTCACAATGTCTTCTACCACTTCCAGAGAGAAGCACACTTTATGCTCACACCATCCTCTTAAGGCACACTATCAAGGGTGGGGTGGGGATAGCGTCACTCAAAATATTGGTGTCTGCAAAGGCTCCTTCATTCAGCATATAAATCACTCAACCCCTGGCAGAGATTTGTGACTTTTCCCTGCCTTACCCTATCATTAGGGTATTTTGACTTGAGTTGGTTTGTTCCAAACTCAGCAAAATTACAAAGCGAAGCAATAGGAATGATGGCATACCTGTTTAATTATGTTTCATATCCCATTGCTCAACCTCCATTAAAGAATTAGTTGCCTATAACAGAGTTCTGTGAGAATAAAGCACATCATATCAATAAAGAATCCTGAAGACGCAGTGACAAAGTCAGGTAGATGGGGACTTAATCTGTCTCAGGAGATGAAGCAAATAGGAGTGACTGCTCTCTGGCACAGACTTCCTTTTAGAGAAATGAAAATGTGTAAAACTGACTGTGGTAATGACTGCACAACTCCGTCAATACACTAAAAACCAGTGAGTTGTACACTCTAAGCGAATTATGTGGCATATGAATGATTCCTCAATTAAATATACGTATCTACATTATGACCCAGCAATTCTGCTCTTAGGTGATTACCCTAAGAGCAGAACACACATGTTCATAAGGATACTTAAGGATTTCCACAGCAGTCTTATTCATAATAGCCTCAAACTGGAAACATTCCAATGTCTATCAAGAGGAAAATGGATAATCCATGGCATATTCATACAACTGAGTATTCCTCAGGAACAAAAAAAGAAATGGGTCTTGGAGTGTGGCTCGGTGGTAGAGCACCTGCTTAGCATGTAAGGCCCTGGGTTAGAGCTCCAGCAATGCTGAGGGAAAAAAAAGACAGGGCTGCAATATGAGATGCAAACAATATGGGTGAGTCTAGAACATAATTACGAGTGGAAGAAAAAGCCCACAATTAAACGATGTCATTTATATGAATTCTAAAATGGGCAAAATTTTATCATCTCTGATGATAGATGCCAATGATCTGGGGCACAGAAGTAGAAGGGGTGGGATGGGGCAGGGGTTTGGAATTGATTGGAAAGAAAAGCTAGGTAGGCCTGGAGGCACGGCTCAAGGGTTGCTAGAGAGGCACTCTACCACTTGGGCCATGCTTCCAGCTATTTTTGCTCTGGTTACTTTTGAGATAGCATCTCATGTTTATGCCCAAGCCAGCCTAGACCTCCATCCTACTATTTATGCTTCCTAAGTAGCTGGGACGATGTGTATATGCTCCACCCCAACCAGCTTTCATTTTTGAGAGGTCTCTTAAATTTTTTGTCCCTGATGGCCTCAAGCCTTGATTCTATCTATCTTCACCTCCTGCCTAGCAAACACAAGACCCTGAGTTCAAACCCCAGCGCTGCCAGAAAAAAATAAAAAAAGAAGAGGAAGAAAAGAAAAAAGAGAAAGAAGCACAAGGGAAACTTCCAGGGACCCAAAAATACTCTGTGTCTTGTTCAGTTGCTGGTAACATAGATGAATGGGTCCACGCAATTGTCAGGAACATCACACTGATCCCTTAAGATCTGTGCATTTCACTGTGCATGAATTACATGCAGAACTTTAAAAAACATGATTATAGTATTTAGATTCCGGTGCATAGATTTAAATTAATGTTGTACTCTTGGCGGTACTAGAATTTAATCCAGGGCCTCCTACTTGCTAGGCAGACGCTCTACCACTTGAGCCACTCTCTCAGCAATGCTGTACTTTTACCATTTATAATACACTATCTATTCTGCTGATGGAAAACTTTAGAGGTCATCTTAAGAACGTGTGATAGATGCATACATGTCAATGTCCTCAGGGAGTGCCCACTTGTAATTTGCCACTTCCCAACCCTTCCCTATTCCCTCTTCTTCCTTGAAAACACCCAGTCACCTCTGCACAAATCAAAGCTGAGTTCAATTCACACTGGACTCTTGTCCCTACTGCAAGAATGTATTAAAATCTGGCCTTGCTGCTTTAATAAGTATCTGGCTTTATTTATCTTTACCATTTATTATTGAAAGCTTTATATACATCTGGCAAACAGCTGCTTATTCTTCTCAGGACATTCTTACATCAAAAGCAATATGGCAACATGATCATTCTAGTTTAGGAGATGAAGTTGGGGTGAGGTGAGCCCCACAGTAGTTCTACTCACAGTGCGGAGAAGCCAGCTGATCGGAGAGTGTCCCTGAGAAAGGGCGGCGATCACATTTTCCCACCACCAGCCTTTATCTGCAGAGTTGGGGAGGAACCATAAGCTTATTGCCCAAGCACCACTAAAAACTCTAAGGCTAGCCAGGTGTGGTGGCTCACGCCTGTAATATTAGCTACGCAGGAGGCGAAATTGGGAGGATCAAGAGGCGTGCAGGGACAAGAAGTTCATGAGACCTTCTCTCAAACAATGAAAGCTGGGGGAGGTGAGGCATGCATGTCATCCCAGCTACTCAGGAAGCATAAATAGGTCTAGGCTGGCTTGGGCGTAAACATGAGATGCTATCTCAAAAGTAACCAGAGCAAAAATGGTGAGCAGTATGGCTCAAGTGTTAAGAATGCCTGCCTATCAAGCCTGAGGTCCTAAACTCAAATCCCAGAAAAATTGTTTTAAGACCAGGTGCAATGGCTTATGCTACTCAGGAGGTGAGACGATTAGGAGAATTGTAGTTGGAGGCCAAAAAGTGAGACCCCCATGTCAGCCAGTATACTAGACATGGTGGTGCACATCTGTCGTCTCAGCTACATGGGAGACTTTGGATTGCAGTCCATGTCAGAACAAGCAAAAACTCAACACCCTATCCAAAAAATAACCAAAGCAAAAAGGGCCTGGTTGTGGCTCAAGTGGTAGAGTGCCTGCCTAGTTCAAGACCCTAAATTCAAACCCTCATACTGCCAAAAAATAAGTTTTTTTCCCATATTATATATGCTGATGGAGTAAGGATGGTTGATGAAGAGTGATTTTAGTAGGATCAAGCTTTCAAAGATGAAGCTTGAATTTCATGACAACCGGATGTGTGAGTGTGAGTGTGTGTGTGTGTGTGTGTGTGTGTGTGTAAATACATACAATAAATACAGAGGTTCTTCTGGCATGCAAAAATATGCAGATTTCATTCAAATTTGGCAAGCTTTTGTTGTTGTTGTCACTGGTTTTTGAGACAGGGTCTCCTGTGTAGTCCAGGCTGGCTTCAAACTTGAGATTCTGTTGCTTCCTCTCCTGGATGCTGAGATTACAGACCTGCACCACCACGTCCAACTTCACTCAAGGTTTTTTTTGCAATACTTAAGTTTGAACTCGGGGCCTACACCTTGAGCCACTCCACCAGCCCTTATTGGTGAAGGGTCTTTTCGAGATAGGGTTTCTTGAACTATTTTCCAAGGCTGTCTTTGAACCTTGATCCTCCTGATCTCTACCTCCTGAGTAGCTAGGATTAAAGATGTGAGCCACTGGCACCTGGCTTTTCACTCAAGTTTTGAAAGCAGAATGTTTTGTACCTGTATACAATGGTAATTACACTAAAATAAGTCATTCTATTAATTATTCCAGGCAAAATTAAATTATACTCCTTTCAAGGGAAGCTGTTCAATAAACATTAGTAAGAATGGTACACCTTTACACACGGCTGTAATGCCTTTACGTTTGATTGTACTTCATTAAATTTGTATGTTACAGACTCAGCTCAGTTATTTTACTTATTATTTATTTATTCTGGTGGCCTTGGGGTTTGAACTCAGGGTCTCGTGATTGCTAGGCAGGTGCTCCACCACTTAAGCCACACCTCCAGCCCTTTACTCAGTTATTTTGAGCCACTGATATCTCAGGTTCTATGGATTAGTTTAACAATTTGAGTCACAAAAATATGGAATTAAAGCTGATCATTTTAAATAAATGTACATGTGTTTATGAAAATTTGTAAAACCCTTACACACTGTCACGCTGTGGTTTAGCACTGCTGGTTGAGACTCTGTCTTACGGCTGATATTTGAGGAAAGGCTGAGTAAACACAGTGGGATAAAGAGCTGAGCATGGTGGCCGGTAACCTGCTCTCAGCCTCGCCTTCCAGTTAAGCCTTACCTAGGCTAAGAGTAAACCTATCAGGGGCTGGGGGTGTGGCTCAGTGGTAGAGCCTTTGTCTTGCATGGGAGGCCCTGGATTTTATTCCCAGCAATGCAACAATTAATAAACAAATAAAAACAAACCAAAGTATACAAGAACACAACGTCAACCACCTTTCTCCTTTACTCAGTGGCAAGGCCCTGAGGACAGAGGCATGAGTTTGCCTAGCTCTGTGTTTCCCACATATTGTGGAACTGAACAATGTTAGCAAAACAGAGCAGGCCACACAGGGCCCAGGGCCCAGGAGATCAAGATGATGGCCAGCTGCCTTTCCCTTCCACTTGCTGTCATTTCATCTCATAGCCTCAGTTTCCTCCTCTGCACCCTAAATGGGGTTCCTAATAGCAGATCTACCTGTCTCACAGGACTGTTGAGAGTCTAACCAGAAAATGTGAGCGTACCACAATAAAGTGGTTGCAAGTGTTGCTTGTAGAACAGCATGGATACAACTTCCTAACAATCTTCTGACTCCATCTTAACCCAACACTATCCAACCTCTACAGAGAAGCCAAAGTGATAGTTAAAAACGTAAATCAGGCCAGGCTTGGTGGTATCCGCCTGCAATCCCAGCACTGCAGACAGAGGTTGAGGCAGGAGGATGGCAAGTTGAATATATAGCTTCCATTATGTTTAAAATCCTGTGCAAAGCCACGATGAGGCTTTGCACAGTGATGAGAATTTGCACAGTGGCACAGTCTCCTCTCCTCCTCTGATGTCACTACCCCTTTATTCCATCCTGTAAGCATACTGACCTTGTTTCATTTCTGGAGTCCAGCAAGCATTCTCCTACTTATCATAAGACCTCAGGAATGGAATGGTCCTCCCCATCCTCTGCAGAGCTGACTCAGGGATCCCACGGGCTGGGCTTTCCCTGACCCTTGACCTGTAGAAATTCACACCCAGCCCCACCCTACCTCCTGCACTCTCGACTGTCTTCTCCCTCACCACATACTCTGTTCCTATTCTGTTGTGTGAAAGGAAGGGTGTGGAGAGAACCAAGCAGGGACATGGTTAAAAAGGTTCAGGAGTTTGGATTACCTCGCTCATCGCCAGAAATTGTAAACTTGTGCGGACTCTGCCCGGTCCACAGTCCTACATAGCCGATGAAAGTGGTCCCTGTGAACTCGACCTAAAGTCAAGAGAGAAGACAGCATGTTTCCATTCTGATAAAACACACGGCGACATCACATGCTTTCTCCTGCAACTATCTGGGTATTTTTTCTTGTACGTTCCAACACAATAGAAAGAACCTCTGCAACAGCATTCTGGAACAGGGCTCTCAACCTTGAGGCCCATGGACAGAACTGAGTGGTGTGAATTGGACTGAAGAAGAGGCACACCTTTATTCTCACTGACCTCTGACTGACATGGAACTGCTTCTCTGATAGCACAGAAGCCATGCAGTAATAGTGGCACCTGTGATTCTGTCCACAGTAGAAACTGCAGGTATTTTCGCATGCATGATGGTAGTCGCAGATAACTAGAAATCCCACCTCCCACAGTTGTCACTACTTGAAATCATGGTAGTTATGAGATGCATTGCTAAGTTGTACCATTTAATGTGTTAAAAAGTCTAATATTAAGGCCAGGCTCCAGTGGCTCCTGCCTATAACCCTAGTTACTTGGGAGGCTGAGATGGGGAAGATCGTGGTTCCAGGCCAGCCCAGAAAAAACATTAGCGAGATGCCATATCAAGGAACAGCTGAGCATGGTGGCATGCGCCTGTCATCCCAGTGATGGCAGAAGTGTAAAGATAGGAGGATCTCGGTCCAGGTCAGCCTGGGCAAAAAGTGAGACCCTACTTCCTAAATAACCAGAGCAAAAAGGGCTGGAAGCATGGCTCAAGCTCAAAGCCCTGAGTTCAAACCCAAGTACTTAAAAAGAAAAAAAGTATAATATTGAAGTAACTGTATTCGAACACAACTGAGTTTCTTTGTAATCCTGTGTATTTTATGTATTTACAAACATTATTCACCAAAAGGGTTCAAGCACAAAGAGGTGTCATCACAGAAGTAGCAAAAGGGTCGGAATTTAAAACTTTGTGTGTGTGTGTGTGTGTGTGTGTGTGGTTCTGGGGCTTGAACTCAGAGCCTACACCTTGAGCCACTCCATCAACCCTTTTTGGAAAGGGTTGTTTTGAGATAGGTTCTCTCAAACTATTTTCCTGGGCTGGCTTCACACTGCAATTCTCCTGATCTTTGCCTCCTGAGTAACTAGAATTACAGGTGTGAACCACTGGCGCCCAGCTGACTTTAAAACTTTCTGACTTAATTATCAGAGATAAATATCGCATATTTCACAACCTTTGTGACACTAAGGGAAACAAGTGGGAATGCTCACTGATAATCATCACATTTACATTTTAAGTTTTTAAAGTCATTGCGTGTATTTTTTTTTTTTTTTTTGCAGTACTGGGCTGCTTATAGGTTCAAGCAAGATCCTATGTAGAAAAATACTTCAAAAATTCTGAGCACTAGACTGTGGTTCTTAATTTAGCAAAAGAATTTATTGATGTGAGTCCTCTGCAAAAGGATAATACCCAAGTGTAAGCTTACTAATCGCCTGAGCACCGAGAGGGAAGCCACCCCAACAGACTTTCTCCTGGGAGCACCAGAAAAGACAGGAACGAATGAAGCAGCAGTCACTGGAGCAAGTTTTAGAACACTTGAGAGAGCCCATTTTTATTGCATTTTTTCCTTTGTGTATTTATAAGAACACTTTCTCATTATAGAATAATGGAGAAAAGTGTAAAGAAGTAAACGGATTATCCCACAATGCAGTAATAACTTAACATTTTAGATTTCCTTCAAGAATTTATTAGGCACTTACAATATCACTGTTACCACTTAAGATTGTTTTTGAAGTAAATGTTCAGCTAGATATCAATAATATGCTTTGTGTAGTCAATGAACAGTGATTAATGCTGTCTTTCTAGAAGTTTTAACAATCATGTGACAACAATAAATATTACATTCTAGTCTGGGTGGGAGGACAGTACTGGAATGTGAACTCAGGGCCTCCCATTTGCTAGGCAGGTGTTCTACCATTTGAGCCACGCCCCCAAACTTCTTCTGCTTTAGTTATTTTTTGGATAGAGTCTTGCATTTTTGTGTAAAGTCATCTAAGGACCACGATTCACCTACTTATACCTCCTGCCATAGCTGGAATTGTAGATGTAAACCACCATAACCAGCTTGTTAGTTGAGATGGGGGTCTTGCTAACTTTTCTTGCAGGCTAGCTTTAAACTACGATCCTCCCAGTCTCCCCCTCTTGGATAGCTCAGAATCTATATTCCTAGCACCACCGTGCTTTTAAAGAGACCATGCTAAAAACAAAATAACCTAAATGTAATTTTTTGAAGATCATACACAAGAGAGTGTTTGTATAGATCACACCTGTAGAGTGAAGGCCCATTTTTTATTTGGCCATTGTTTATCAAGCACATACCACATGTTTTATATAGATGACTTCATCTAACTTTAATAGCTACTTCAATAAAGTAGTTATTGACTCTCTGAGCTGTAGGCTACAAAACAGGTACAAGTAACTCTTCAGGTTCACAAGGGAAGTAACAGAAGCAGGATTCAAATCCAGGACTGCCAGCCCCTAGAGCTGGGGGTCCTTGTCACTGCAATACTTGGCCCTCCCTATTCCTGAAGCAGCCTGAACAAGGGTGGGCAAACAGAAGAAGCTGCTTCAGCATCACATATGACAGCATTATCACACCTAGAGAATGTCCTAAGGTCACTCTGTAAGTTCATGCTCAGTGACAACATATATCTCTTCTTTCTGTGGGCACAACTGATGTAACCCTCTCCTGGTTTTGTCGTTCCCAGGAGGTTGATGGTTTTCTATCTTACAGTGTCAATGCACTGAAGTTAGCAGACCATCCAAATGACTGGAACTGTGGGCCAGAAAGGTTTTTGGATATTTTATCTTATCCCACATGACCATACCTGCCCATTCCTTAAAAACTGCACATCCACTGTCAGTCTGCGTAAGACATTTCCAAAAGGATAGTCCAGATTCCGACCGTGATAAATGTGGCCTCTGGAGTCCTGAGCCACAATACTGGTGCAGAAGCTGAGAGAAGGGAAAGGACCAATGTAGTGAATGAGACAAGGAGGACAAGCCTTCAACGTAACAACTTTTCCTCCTTGCAAGTGACATATATGCTATCATTCCTATGGATTCTTGAATATGGATACATAACGCAAGCTGAAAAACACAACTGAACCCAATTCCTGTGTTCACTCAGTGTTACTAGACCTGTCCCTGGGCACACACGGATGTCATCACAAACACATCTAATGAGAACTTTACCTTGAACAACATCCTGAGAGAAACAGACCCATGCTGGGCCCAGCTAGACCTCTGAACTCTGCTCTTTCCTCTGCTTGGCTGTATGTACTCTACTAACATAGTATTCAAAGCTAGCTCAAGTTCGCCTCTCCATACTGTGAATTTTTACAGCAAGTACAATGGCATTAAGCCATTCAGTTTCCACAATTGTTTCATTTATCCACTTGGGGAAATAGCCAGCTTGTTATCGGCTGACACTGCCTGTCCCTCCCAAAGATGTAAGAGAAAAGGCTCTAAGAGAAAAGATGTAAGAGCCAGGCACCTGGGGCTCACACCTTTAATTTTAGCTACTTGGAAGGCAGCGATCAGAAGGAACGAGGTTCAAAGCCAGCCCTGGGCAAGTAGTTTGTGAGACCCTATCTCAAAAATACCCAAAGTAACCCCCTGGCAATGAGCAAAGAGACACCTCATTGGTGGTGTTGCTCTTTTATCAGTCAGGGGCAGAGCAGATGACAGTCCTTTGTTTGTCCTAGCTTGATGCTTGGGTCAGTGGCCAAAGCTGTTTCATGCCTAGGGCACATTTAAAAAAGAAAGAAAGAAAGAAAGAAAAAAACCCAACATAAAACAAGTCTGAAGGAGTGGCTCAAGTAGTAGGGCACCTGTCTAGTAAGCATGAGGACCTGAGTTCAAACCCCAGTATCACAAAAAAAAAAAAAAAAGAACTCTCTGGGGAAGGTTTGTTAAAACATCTCAATATCCATATCCACTGAAAAGATCTAATGTTATGTGAATAATCCAGTATCTTCACACAAATAAAACTGACAGGACTGATTCTTCTTCCTTCTTCTTCCTCTTCCTTTCTCCTTTTCTTTTGGCAGTGTCCTCTATATTACTCTATATTATTAGTTTCCTTCCTCCCTGCTTCCCTTCCTTCCTTTCAGTGGTACTGGGGTTTGAATTTGCAAGTGCTCTATCACTTGAGCTACCCTCCTAGCCCTTTTTTAGTTTATTGTTCAAATAGGGTCTCATGCTTTTGCCTGAGGCCAGCCCTGGACTGTGATTCTCCTACCTCTGCCTCCCTAGTAGCCGGGATTAGAGGCATGTCCACCATACCTGACTCCCTGATTTTCTATAAGATTAAATGATACTTTTATAATTAGGGGAAAAAAAACAAGCATTACATAATTTTTTGGTTTGTTTAAAGAAGAAAGGTTGGTCAGGTTTTAATTCCTTTCAAGGTTTCTGATCTTAACTTCAAAGGGTTCAAGTCAGGGAGGGGACAGATAAAATATGGGAACTGGCTAATGCAGTTTGCAGAATCTCTCTCAAGGTGATTTTTCAGAATTGGCAAGACAACCATCATTCCCATCATGCCAAGTACTTCAGCAGGATGTAGCACACAAGCACAGTTGGGACAAGTAAGAAGATGGGCTCTGCCTTGGGAGAGGCACTGCAAGGCTCTGGAGACTTGTGGGCTTTTGGTAGCAACCTTAGCACTCATTAGCCACCACACTGCCAGCAAGTTGCCCTCTCTGAGGTTTGGTTTCCACATCACAAAACAGAAAATACCATTTTCCCAGGAGGCTGTGTCCATGAAGGGCCTGGGACCAAGCAGGCTCATAAAGGATAGCTATGTCATCCCGATTCAAACATTCAAAAGGCCTTACTTCAGGAAACGAGAACAGAGTATTTCCAACCGCCCCTTATTTTTTTTTTTGAGATAGGATAGGGTCTTCCTACATAGCCCAGGCATGTTTCAAACTCAAATTCCTGCCTCAGTCTCTTGAGTGCTGGCATGCAACACCATGCCCACACAACATTTCCTTTGCTAATGCTGATTCAATCTGATGGTGCTTTTTTGCTATTAGGCAATTGAATACCTTAATCTGAGATCCAAAAGTGAGCAGCTCTAGGGTTTGAACTCAGGGCCTCAGACTTGCTAGGCAGGCACTCTATCACTTGATCCACTCCACCAGCTCTTTTTGTGCTGGGTTTTTGGAGACAGGGTCTTGTGAACTATTTGCCCAGGCTGGCTTCCAACCACCATCCTCCTGATCTCTGACTCCTGAGTAGCAAGGATTATGCCACTGGTGCCCAGAAAAAAGTGAGAATTTTTTTCTAGAACTTTTGCTTTAATCTGTTTACATAGCATGACTCCAAAAAAAAAAAAAAAAACAGTGAAAATAATCAGTGGGTTTTCACTGAAAAAGCTCCATGTCAAAATAGTTGGAGGTAGGAGAAGAGATGGTAAAATTAACTTAGTTCAGTTGAAAAGCACTTTAAAGTAGCAGGCTCACATTGTCTGTGTCTGAAGGCATTTCCTTGAGGAGGAAGGAAGTCACAGTGCTTCTAAGTGTTATGGAAGATGCTAGTTTGGTTTTAACAGCCCAAGACCTGTTTTCCTCTGAAGCTATCACTAGCTACAAGGTGTTACTGCACCAGGTGCCAAATGAAGAGTATTAAAGGCAGAAAGCAAGTAAAACCTGTCTTAATTCCAGGACCTGGTGCTAAGTCCATGAACTCTGCCTGCACTTTGCCTGAGATCAGCCACATCTCTCACACTGCTTCCAGTTTTGCTTTTAGTGTTACTTTTTAACTGTAGTCTTATTAGATACAGCAATGCTTCCTGTCACCCAAACCCTGGCAGGAATAGACTCTGAAACACCAGTCAGAATCACCAGATAAAACTTCCTGGAAAAAAGTACATTTTGAACAGTTTTGGAAGTGGGATGATGCTACCTGGCTTGCGGAAGAGAGAAAACAGAGTTTCAGGTAGGGGCAAAAGTCAGTGTTTCGTGGAAGAAGCTGCTTTCCTTCTAGCAGCTCAGATCTGCTGCTCAGATTTTCTTTCAGAGGCAGGGAGGAATGTGGTCAGCTCAGTCACTACTTGTTTTTATCTCACTGAGAACATGTCCCCTCCCACAGTAATATGACAGAAGTCCCTAGCAAGGCGCAGGTTAATCCGTGCTAGCATTAGCACCGGGCACTCACGCGGAGGACTCGTAGGCCAGGTTGACCAGGAGACCCTCTGCCAGGCTGAGGTTCAGGAAGTCGCACATGCCGCGGATCTCGTCCGTGAAGGGCTGGGGCAGGAAGCTCTCCAGTTCCCCGATCACCTTTCCCATCAACGCGAGTACCCATTTGGGGACTCTGTCGCTGGAAACGAAAAGGCATGAGGTGTTTTAGCTGCTGGGAGGACGCAGGGTGCTAGGGTGCGTGGACAAGGGGAGCAGGTGAGTGACCAATGTCTAGGTTCTCCCGAGGACTACCAACCCGTGGGGGGTCCAAGAGGGAAAAGGGAAACTGAGAAAGGAGGGCGAGTGAGGCTGGGCCCCAACGGGGAGACTCGAGGGGCCCGGGGACCTGCGAGGATGGCTTGGGTTGCGTCCCTTACTCCCGGGTGACAGCTTCGCGCCACGCTGACCCGGAACGGCTCGGAACGGCTCGGAACGGGCGTGCCATCGGAGACACCCAACCTGCAATCCGAACCCCGGCCGCCCCAGCCCGCAGGCCGGGTCCCCGCGCCCGCGCTCACCCGATGACCTGCGCCACCGCGGCGCGCACCAGGTCCGGGTCGTAGTGCCGCAGCACCGGCAGCCAGCGCAGCTCGGGGGCCGCGTCCAGGCTCACGTTGAAGAGCCGCGGCGCCGGGGGCGACACGGACGACAGCCCGGGCCCAGCCAGCAGCAGCAGGAGCAGCAGCAGCGGCGGCGGCGCCAGCGCCTGGTGCGTTCCCCGACCCGCCGCCCGCATGGCTCGGCCTCCGCTGCCACCGCTGCACGGTTGCTGCAGCTGCGAGTGCGGGGAAAGAAGTAACAGCGCCGGGGGCGTGGCCTGAGATAGCCACGCCCCAAAGGCTCGTACCCATCCAGCCTCCTAGCCCCGCCCTCGGTCCTGTGTGGACGCGCCTCACTGCACAGGCACTAAATGCCCAACGACCCCCTCGCCGCCCAAGAGTGTAAACTGGTTGGGGTGGGGATTAAGATTTTGAGTACAGAAAAGCCACTGGGGAAAAAAAATCCTAATCCACATTGTCCCTCCCCAGCTACATCTCTTTTACTCATTTTTTAGTTCTTCAAAGGTTTATTTGGATTTTGTAAGGGGCAGGAGAGTTTTGCCTATTAAATACTCACTTCCCAGCTTTTCTTTAAAAAGCTAAAAAACCCTTTTGTTTTACCTTGTTTTTAGCTAGTTTTTGCAGATAATATCACATTTAACCATGGAAACAAGTCAAAATAGGTTCTACTGACTCATCCCATTTTACTAATGAGGACTATGGGTGAGGTGAGGCGCTCTGCCTGAGATGATACGGCTTTGAGCCTCCTCTGCGTTGCTCCAAGTCAGGCTGACTTCCAAACTCACCTTCATAATCTCCAACCTGAAGTTTCCTCATCTCCTCTTTGTCTGGCCAAAATCTGGGAGCAAAAACACTTGTAAGTCAGGAAGATCATCAGAGTAGAGCCAGAACAGCTGTGGTTAGCACAGCTGTCTATGTGAAATACAGTAAGCGTGGACAGGAAACTTGGAAAATTATTTTTTTTCAGGGATCCCCCTCCCCTGCAATAGAATACACCATTACTACCTCTGATTTGTCCTATTTTGATGGCTTACTTGCTACCGGGCTCAAGTTCCTTTTGTTGTCTCTGTTTCTTGTTTCCTTGTTTCAAAGTAGAATGCCCAACATAGACTCTAACTGCAAAAGATGAGCTAGTGCTTAAGTTCAAACAGGACACAAGATTCTTCTAGTTTATTTTTAAATTTTTCTTATTGTTGTGCTGGGGGCACACTGTGGCATTTACAAAAGTTTATACAATATATCAAATATATCATACTTGAATTCAACCCCCTCACCATTCTCCTTTATCCCCCTCCTCCCCCCATTCCTGAAATAGTTTCAACAGGTACCATTTCTCCATTTACATCTTCTAGTTTAAATAAATACACACAACTCAGGTCCTCTGAGCATCTGCAATTTAAATCTGTAAAGGGGAACTTCCAGGCCTCTGGACCCCCAATCATGCCATGATTCCTCCCCAGTAAATCAATGCATGCAATCTGGGTGCTAATGGTCAACTGTGACCACCAAGGCCCCCTTTTTGAGAGGCTTCCTCAATCCCAGACACAATCTGGCTAGAACAAAGACCACAGGAAGTTCTCAAATGTCACTAACACTTTCATATTCCATATGATTTTCTTGGTTCCCATGGGCTGGTTTCAAGCCTCTGTTCTAGCTTCTTCTAGGTCTTTCCAGTCTTAATTTGCTCATTTGCAAAGCTTGAGTAACAGCAGTTACCTGTGTAAGCAAAGTGCAGTGAAGATTTGCCAGTGGAGCAAACAGATTATCTGAGTTCAAAGAGGTGTGCTTGCATTTTTTTTTTAAGTCATTTCCAGGCACTTTAAGACTGTTATTTAAAAAGATTAAAGATTAGGGGCTAGGGATGTAAATCAGAGGTATAGCACTTGCCTAGATGCACAAGGCTCTGGGTTCAACCCCCAGCACTGCAAAGAAAAATAAATTTAATAACAGGCTGGGTGCAGTGGTACTTGCCTTTGTCCCAGGTACTCAAGAGACTGAAGCAGAAGGAGTGTTGGAGCTTAGGAGTTTGAGACCACAGCCAGATCCCATGTCAAAAAACAAAAGAAGCTGACTTACACAGTGAGGCCCACATCTCACCCCTCCACCCCCAGGTTTTCAAAACACCCATGACAACATCACTGAAATGTGTTGATTTTCTTCTTTCAGGGTGGGACTGGGGTTTGAACTCAGGGTTTTGCATTGGTGAGGCAGGGGCTCTACTGCTTGAGTCATGTGTCCAGCCTCACTCAAATATATTGATGAGTAAATCTAGTGTGGTAAAGTGTTATTTGCAATTAAGCTGCATTAACCATTAACCTACTCCTGTTAAAAGGTTACATTTACAGGACAGCTTAACTGTTAAAGGGAGATCTGAAATCACAAAACTATCAGCTCTCTTCTTTCTCTGATTTCTCAGATGCTGTGCATACTGTTTGACTTATTTCCAGACCAGAGTCCAGTCTTAAAAAAAACTTTTATAGATAGATGTAAAGAAACTTTTTTTTTTTTTAGAAATGTGATATTTTCTTAAGGTAAGCACCTCATTTGGTCCAGTTTAACAGCAGAGTGTGGAGCCTAATTCTCCTCCTCTTTTTGCAAGCTAGACTTGCTTCTACTAAACAGAATATAGCTAGCAACGGTGCCCTACTTCCAAGAGGTCGTAAGAGACCCTGTGGCCTCCTCTTTCCTCCCTGGGATTTCTCACTCTAGAGAAAGCCAGCTGTCATAGGCTAAGAATACTTTCAAAGTCCTATGAAAATGTCCATGTGCTGAGGAACTGAGGCCTTTTAGCAAGAACCAGAGAGGAACTGAGCCTTTTGGCAAATAGCCATGCCAGTGAGCCATCTTGGAAGTGGATCCTCTTGCCTCAGCTAAGCCACTCCCAAACACTGCACCCAAAGAAAGTGTAAAATACCACTCATTGCTTTAAACCACTAAGTTTGAGATAATGTTATGTGGCAATAAATATCTAATACAGACTGGATAACACAGAAGTGGAGTCTTACTGTAACAGGATTCTAAAACTGGATTGCTTTGGAACTGGTGGGTGGAAGCTGAGAGAATTTTAAGTATTGTTAGCCAGAGTCTACATTTCCTTGAATAGACTATTGGTAGACACTGAAGGACCTGAAAGACTAGCAGTCAAAGCGCATCAAGAAGTGAGAAAAATGTCCCTGGTTCCCGTGTCAGGTAGTGAAAGAATGTTTCTACACTACTGTTGCCTATAGGAATGTAGAAAGAAAAAGTACTTAAGGAACTGGTCCTCTAGCCAGATTTCCAGGCAAAGACTGCTCATAGCAAAATGTGACAGGAGGGAGAGCAGCTACAGCAAGGACTGTTAGTAATGATTCAGGAATGGTTTCGAAAATCCCCAGGCCCAAAGTGTGTGGGGACACATACAGCTTATCACAGATATGGCATTACCTATCTCAGATTATTTGCAACATCATTGATAAAAAATATTATCCAGAATATATAAAGACCTCCTCTACATCAGTAAGAAAAAAAGCAAAAGGAAACCTTTTTTTTTTTTTGCCACATGGGTGGCACATTACTGTAATCCCAGCACAGGGGAGGCTGATATAGAGGATCATGAGTTTGAGTCCAGCTTGGGCTGCATGGGGAGACTTCACTGCCTCAGAAAAAAGAAAAAAGAAACAAAACTCACAAGCAACTATGAACAAGTGGTTGTATCACCCTCACCAGTAATCACGAAGTTGCATTTCATATTTGAAGCTAACAGCGTTGTGTTGATGTGGATGTCATGAAATACAAACTCCTGAGTTTTGAGTGGGAATACAATGCAATTCAGCATTGCCTAACATTGAAAAATCACAGACTCTACAATTCAGTAATTCAATTTCTAGGTTTCTATCTAAACTTTGGTCAAAGAAAAAAACTTGACCACACCCTAGAAAACATGTTCAAAGATGTTTATTGCAGCAAGGTTTAATAAATAGCAGAAAAAGTGGAAACAATCTGACTGCTTTTTGGTAGAGAAATGATAGATTATGGATGGATGGATGAATCAAGAGTGGAACCTATGTAACAACTAAGATGAAAAAAGAACCCAAGGTTGAGTTACATAGTCAGCAAAAGAATATAAACAATGATACTGTTTATGAAAAATTTTAAGATACTAAAAAAATTTGTACACACGCACACATGCGTGTACGCAAAGTAGCTACAGGAATGATAGGCATCAACTTCAAGATAATGGTTATCCCTAAGGAGAGATGGCTGAGAAGAGCTTTATTTATTTAAATATTTATTTGCTTATTTAACCCACGGTCTCACTATGTAGTCTAGGCTGGGCTTGCCTTAGCTTCCCAAGTCACTGCATTACAGACATGTGCCTCAGGCCCAGTGTCTAATGTTTCATTCTTTAAAAAAAAAAAAAAGAATATGACAAGACATTAATGGTGAATAAAATTGGGAAACAAATGGTTCAGTATTTTCTACATTTTTATTTAAAAAAAAATCATAATTAAAATTATGTTTAAAATTTTTAAGAAGAGGAAGACTAGGTATCCCTAAAACAAGAAGTTGTATCAGATAGCATCATTTATTCAGTTTAGCTTCCCCCATAATTATTTTCAACTTCCCCTTTTGTAACATTTCCCAGAATTATGGTTCCCATTATCATTAATTTTCTTTTCCTCCTTGGCCTAATTTCCTTTTAAAGCACCCCTGATAATAACTTCTATCAAGAATAGCAAGTCAAACCCAAGTTGGATCTTGCTAAGATTGAACAAGAAGTGTTTTAGATTAAAAAAGAAAAATGCCTAGTATAGGCTAGGCATGGTGGCTCACACCTGTAATCCCAGCTACTTGGGAGGCAGAGATCAGAAAAATGCCAATTCAAGGCCAGCCTGGGCAAATAGTTAGTCAGACTCCATCTCAATCAATCAGCCAGGTGTGGTGGTGTACACCTGTGATTCCACCTTCATGGGAAGCAGTAGATAAGAGGATCTCTGTCTGAGGCTGGTCCAGGATAAGACCCTATTATGAAAAACCGCTAACATAGAAAAGGAATAGAGGTATGGGTAGAACCCTGCCTAGCAAGCACGAAGCAGGTGCTCTATCACTTGAGCCACGCTCCCAGCCCATCACTTTCTATCTTATATTCTGCTTCTGAAAATAAAAGCATGGCATTTTTTTCACATTACTATAGTGTTTATACCTTATCTCCTTCTTCTTTTTTTTTGGTGGTACTGGGGTTTGAACTTAGGGCCTCATGCTTGCTAGGCAGGCACTCTACCACTTGAACCACTCTGCCAGCCCTCCAGCCCTGTTTTGCATTGGGTTTTTTGAGATAGTCTCCAGAATTGTTTGCCTTGGGCTGCCATCAAACTGCAATCCTCCTGATCTCTGCCTCTTGAGAAGCTTGGATTATGCCCAGCTCTTATCTTCAGTTTTTATCAGTGATTGTTTAATGGCTGAATACACCCAGCTGCTTATTCCATTTCTGACATTTTCTTGCACCTGTTCTTGGCACTGCATATTATGCTGCACTGAACATTTCCCTACAGATAGCTTGTGGTAGACACTGGTGACAGTCTATGCAAAATCCATGTCCCCCTCTTCCTTGCCAACAGAAGCTCAGCTCTGCTGGGATGATTAAGGTGCACCTGAGAGGTCAACAATCCCATTTTCTGCTTTCTGGGTTTCTTTTGTTAGTAGGGTGGCTATGTACCCAATTCTGGTTAATGAAACCTAATGAGGACTGCTGGAGGAATTCTCCCAAAGCTTTTGCTTTCTCAATAAAAGGGACAGATATAGCAATGCCACCTTGCCTCTTGTTGCTGTTTTAAACACAGAAGGCAAGGTATCAGAATTATCTTCATTTCACAGATGAAGAAACTGAGGTGCAGAAGTGATGAATAACTTGTACACAGTCACACAGCTGTGTCAGAGCCAGCATTCTAACCCGAACAAAGCAGGAAAGGAGCCTAAAGACCCGGTTGGCATCACCAAGCACCAAGTGTCCACTTTCACACACAGGAGGCAAACTGCTATTTGGCTAGAGTACTTTAAAATGTACGTTCTGTTACTTGTGGTGAAACACAATCACAAATGTAGCTCTTGCCATATTTTGGATCATTTTCTATGACTAAACTCAGAAGTGGGACTCAGCCAAAGGTTTCTTAGGTTCATGGTTCAAATGACAAATTATTTTCCCAAAGAACTGTACTAACAGCACTTTTGCTGACATTAGGAATTGACTAAATCCAAAAGGGTCCCAGAGAGTGACTCTAGCAACCATCCAGTAACTCAGAGAAGACAAACAATGCTGGGGCATTTTCAAATCAATCCTTGCCTTGCCTTTTAAGTGCAGTTCCAGGGCTAGGCTGTAGCTCAATGGTAGAGCACTTGCTAGCATCCACGAGGTCCTGGGTTTTATCTCCAACACCATGCACACAAAAAGAGTGCATTTCTTCTCTAATTATAGAGAAATTTCATTAACAGTGACTCTCAGTGTACATTTACTGGTTGCCTCAAATGATTTTCTTTTGTTTCTTATACAATAGCATAAGGGGAAGAAAAAAAACATGCATGCTGTAAAAAATTGAGAGAGTAGAAAAAAGAAAAAAAAAAATCCTACAACATGATCCCAACATCAAAGGAAAGTATGTTTAATATTTGGCATATTTCCTCCAAGATTTCATTACCTCCCATTTTCTTACATGTACATTGGATTATCCCATAAATATGTATAGATTTTATTTATAAAACACATTTCCCCTTGTAAACATTTTAATGATAATTCCATCACATGAACAAGTCATACTTCAACCATTTATTTACATACTGCGATCAGACTGACAAAACATGCAAGCAAAATCACAAGAAAACAGGACTGTGGCATAAAAGTGCCCTCTACAAACATGAGTTTACGTCATTTAAACAACACAGCATCAGCTGCATGCTCTGCTTCTGTTTGCATTTTATACAAAGACTGTATGAGAAAACGGAAGACTATTTCCAAAATCCTGACCTTGGAAGAGAAAAAGTTCCAGGTCACTGCCCTACCTTCTTACGCATATTCAAGACCATTTTTACATTTCAGAAAGAACGATTCAGCGAAAGAATGTCAATCAGAACTACATTTACCACACACAGTTTAAAAATGTTATTTAAAATAGCTTTCCAAGTGGCAGAGCACCTTCCTAGCAAGCAGAAGGCTGAGTTCAAATCCCAGTACTGAAAAAAAAAATTAAAAAGCTTTACAATCAGAATATTTTGATTAAACATTTTAAACAGAATTGTAATGTAATGGTCTATATGAATTATAAATTTTCAAGAATATAAAGACACCACAACCTTTAAAAACTATATCAAAATTATACAACTTTTAAACCGTAACTTTCCTTTTTAAGGATACAGGAATATATTTCACATTGCTGCCCTGTCTACCATAAGTACCAATTTGTCAGCAGCTGAACAGCATGCTCCTTTGTTAGGATGTCCAAAGCCTCTGCCTGTGCCTTTTTTTTTAACTGACAAAACTATGTATGTTGTTTTAATTTCTGTATCTACTGTGAAATGAGTAAGATAGCTAACACATTCATCACTTCATGTATTTTTTTTTTTTTGCAACTGTGCCTTTTTGATAGCTCTATAAGCTGCCTTGTATTACAAAGGCAAAAATGTGAGACTGTAAAGTTCAAGTTCAGAAACTGATGATTTCTTCAAGGTTAAAGTCACTTTGCAAGGTCATGTGCAACCTTTGCTGGCTGCATTCAACCTGTGAGAATCTGATCTTGACAGTAAACTGAAAAATTCTCAAGAGAAGATTTTCACACACACACACACACACACACACACACACACACACACACACACGGGGTGGGGGTGGGGGAATCTTGGGTTTGAACTCATGACCTCAACACTTGCTAAGCAGGCACTCTACCACTTGAGCCATTCCACCAGCCCAAGATTTATAAATAATAAAGGAAATCAGATGGAAATAAGAGCCTATGGGATCAAAGACTAAAGCAGTTAAGGATATAGCTATTAAAGACAGGTATCTTTCTGCCTTGCACATAAGCCACTGGCTAGTTAAGAACAGAGTGAGGCCATGGTAGAAAAATGAACTTAGAATTCAGAATGGACTTTGGCTTCTTAGAATCTAAGTGGAGTGGAGTATACTACAGGAAGATGAAACTTCCAGGCACCACCACAAAACACACAGCAAAGCTGTGGATCCTAGCTGCTATATTTTGAACCATTCACTTTCTGGACCCCAACACATGAGGAAATGCCAGTTTAAGAATTAAAAAAGAAAAGGGAACTGCTTTTTCTGAAATACACAAATTTGCATTGGACGCTTCCTGTGAAGCAGTCAAGTTGCTGGCAGTTGACTCTGATAGCTTGACTAATCCTGGACCTGTGATCTGGGGAATCTTGGGCAAAGTCTCAAATAAATCTGAAGTCAAACTCAAAGTGAATAGAATAAACTCAAAAGGGAATAAGAAAATGTAATTTTAAGAACTGCTTTCTAATTTTGAGTGGGCAGAACATTGCCCTTTGCTCTAATTTGAAGTAACATACAATAATTTTCTAATCTCCCACAAGATCTTCTAAGAAATCTGAGGCAAAAGGCGCCAGGCTGTTTCTAAATGCACCAACCTGCAGGCACAGAGACTACCCTTGAAATCGGCTCAAGCATGCCTGTTAAATACACAGCACTACATACAACCTCATGTACCTAGTCTGACATTAGAAAGCTTTTAATGAGAACAAGGCAAATAATGGGCTGAAACTTAAGAGTGAAAGGAACCTGAGAAACCAATGTGAAGAGGCAGCTCAGGGCTAGGGTGTGGCTCAATGGCAGAGCAGTTGCCTAGCACACATGAGGCTCTGGGTTTGATCCCTAGCTCTGCCAAGAGGAAAATACAGAACAAAACCAACAACAACAAAGAGAAGTAGCTCAAATGATACTAAAGGCATTTCAAATGACTATTTACACTTAAGGCAATTTTAAAAGTGAGATCTTAACCAAAAGTCTTCCTTTACATAGCATTAAAAAAATATTGAACTGTCGATACAAAATCTGTACAGCAGGGGAGACCTGTTTTCAGCAGGTAAGCCTATTTACAAGTAAGAACCTCTTACTCTTGTAACATTGTCCTGTTTTGTTTTAAGAGAATATATAACTCTTATTCTTGCAGTTAGTCCATTCCTGCAATTCATAGAAATATGGGCCTATCTCCATAAGACAATTATTTACACTGTAAATACACCTGTTCCCACAAGCCTTGAGTGAAAGGGTTATGTCTCCCTTAATTTTATATCTACAGTGGTAATTAAATTAGTAGGCACTTAATTTCTTTGTATGAATGTTTAATGAAAACAATGTTTATACCACCACTATTCACTTTTCAAACATTCCCACCATTACCTATCTCCAAATTAAGAACACCAAATTGTTACTGAGTTTACCATGGCTTTCACAATATAATGCTTCTTGACTTTTTAAATGTTTACTTTTTAATGATTTGCCAATTTTTAGATTAATAACACAAAATTAGCATTCTCCTTGGAATGGAAAACTTGCTGGGAAGTTACTTCATTCTCTTTCTCTTTTTCAAAAGTGCATCTCGTAGTGCTAGCTGGAAGATAAGGAAAAATAATAATACTTAATAATAATACATAAACATGGCAAATCTTGAGTATTCTATTACACTAATTCTAAGAAGTTTACCGAAAAGGAATCAGAGTCCGTAAGTCATCCTAAAAAACCAGTCAATGAAGGAATCCCTAAAAGGTCAAATCTGTATCAGGGGCGGGGGTCTCCAGGATGATACATGCACAATACCTTTCTGTCTACGTGGCTCTTGGTATTTTGGGAGTTGTGGGTGGGAAACAGTCTAAATTAAAACTAACAGGCAAGTAGATCTTTCTTCACAATCAATAAATGAGGCAACATGGACCATTTAAAGATTTTTAATAATCTTTCCTCCAAGTAACCAGAATATTAAAGAAAATCAAGAATAAATTCAAATTAAAAAAAAAAAAAAAAAAAAGGCACCAGGTACCAGTGGCTCACGCCTGTAATCCTAGCTACTCTGGAGGCAGAGATCAGGAGGATCATGGTGGGAAGCCAGCCTGGGCAAACAGTTTGAGAGACCCTATCTTAAAAAAACCCATCACAAAAAAGGGCTGGCAGAGTGCCTCAAGGTGTAGGCCCTGAGTTCAAACCCAGTACCACCAAAAAAAGATAAAGGTAAGCAAAGCCAATGTGGTCAATGTGCATACTTTACTGTGTGATAAATACCACTCCATTAATTCCCAAGCACTACTTTTTGTCCTACAAACTTTAAAAAATCTTTAGCTCTTAATTTTAACCTTTTGCTTTACTAAAAAAAAATTTCTGGAGACCAGACATGGTGGTGCACACCTGTTATCCCGGCACTCTTAAAAAAGAGCAGTCAAAAACGTGAGACCTAAAACCTTGAGGCTACTACAGGAAAGAGCAGGGAATATACTGGAAGCAACAGGCATAGGCAATGACTTCCTCAGTAGAACTCAAGTGGCTCAGTGACTAAGAGAAAGGACTGACAAATAGGACTACGTGAAATTAAAAAGCTTCTGTGCAACAAAAGAAATGGTTTCTAAATTGAAGAGGCAGGACACAGGATGGGAGAAAAGTTTTGCCAGTTATACATCAGACAAGGGATTGATAACCAGAATATACAGGGAGTTCAAAAAACTAAACTCCCGCCCCCAAAAAAAACCAATGACCCAATGGAGAAATGGGAAATTAACTGAACAGAGCCTTTCTAAAGGAAGAAATCCAAATGGCTAAAAACCATGAAAAAATGCTCACCATCCCTGACCATAAAGAAAATGCAAATCTAAACCACATTAAGATTCCACCCTACTCCTGTTAGAACAGCTATCATCAAAAACACTAACAAAAACTAATGTTGGTGAGGATTTGGGGAAAAAGGAACCCTCATACACTGCTGGTGGGAATGTAGGCTAATATAACCACTATGGAAAAAACCAAAAATAAATCAGCCATACGATCCAGCAATACCACTCCTAGGGATGTATCTGAAGGAATGTAAGTCAGCTTACAAAGGCATCTGCACATCCGTGTTTATTGCAGCACTATTCACAATAGCTAAGCTATGGAAACAGCCAAGATGCCCCACTACCGACAAATGGATTAAGAAAATGTGGTATTTATACACAATGGAATTTTACTCAACCACAAAGAAGAATGAAATTTTATAATTCACAGGTAAATGGATGGAGGTAGAGAACATCAGACCAAATACAAATGCAGCAATATTATAAAACACTGGTCACACTAAGGGGAGGTGATGCATGGGAGGCACAGGGCAAGGGAAGGAAACTAAGAATTTGAATTTGGCTGTACAGGAATGAATAAAGAAACCTTAAACTAGTTGAGGCCACCATGGGAAGGGGACTAGGGTGCAATGAAAGTGGATTAGAGGAGATAAACCAACTGGGGTTATAATACATACATGCATGAAAATATCACAAGGAAACTCTCTGTGTAGCTAGCTACCTTTATCTCAAATAAGCAAAAATGTCATGTTTTTCTTTTTATCTTCTCTTCTACATATCGGAGAACAGGAGGACAGCACCCTTACAGACAGTGGAGGGGGAGCAGGCCATCATCAGAGGGGGAGGTGGCAGGGAGAGGGGGTAAGCAGGTGAATATGGTGCAAAAAAAGTGCACACATGTATGTAAATGCAAAAATGATACCTGCTGAAACCGCTCCAGGAACTGGGGGGGGAGGAGATAAAGGGAAGTGATGGAGGGGGTGAATTCAAGTATGATATATTTGATACATTGTAAGAACCTTTGCAAATGCCACAATGTACCCCCACCCAGCACAACAATCAAGGGGGAAAAATGCACAATATATACATGTCTGAAATACCAAGGCAAAAAAAGTTTGAGGTCAGTTTAGGCTACAAGGGAGACCCTGTTTTAAAACAAACAGAAAAACCCCAAATCAAAGCCTACACTGAATAAAATCAAATTCCAAACAGGAAAGTTTTTGCAAAAGGACCCATACAGAAAGGATTATACCAACAGAACTGTTTGTTATCCTAAAACTGGAATATTACCACACAAAAGTATTGCTCTTTGAAAGGTTCCAGAGAATTGATCTTAAAATTAAGATCAATTAATTTCAGTATTATATTTCACAGATAAAATGACAGAATTTTAGCATGAGAAAAGATCTTAGAGGTAATCTAGGTTGCTTGCCTTCACTTACAGAAGAGAAAAATGGGGTGAAGCCCTCTGTTCACATAGCTATTCTAATCAACTCAAGCTAGGATTTACATGCCCCAAATGCCTCCCACCACCATGCTCTCCCACAGGCTCCATGAACCCAAGGCACAGCTGGCTTTGTACTCAGAGGCTACAAGTCGTCTCAAACGTAAAGTGCTTTTAGAACTACAATTCTGTTCTTCCACCCAGGCTTGAAGTTGTACTCACCTGCTTTTCACGGAAGGAACGCCTGGTTTTGGACCGGACATTCTGGCTATATCGCATCATCATAAAGTTCTTCTGCTTTTTCTTCTCTTTATTTGTGGAACTGGAAAATGGATTTATTTTGGTTTTCTTCCTCACAAATTCCTTTCGATCTGTCTTCCCAGCCTATCAGCACAAAAAAATTCGTATTTCTTCTTTTAACACACTTCAGAAGTTATATAATCAGTGCTTACATATTCTCTGTGCTATGGCCCTCTACTGGGTGCCAACAAAGGACACAACGTGGACAGAACACAGTCCAAGATCCCCAGTGCTCAGTCCAATGGAGAAATGGCAAGAGGTATAATGAGCAGTGAGAGCTCCATGGAAGGAAAGGTCATACTTCAATCTGGTGGGGTTAGAGAGGTTCCCAGAAAGCCAAATAAGCTGTTTTTTGCATGGTGGAGGAAAAAGAGAGGAAGGATAGAATATTGCAGGAAGTAGAGGCAATCTTTGCAAAGGTATGGAGAAGTTTCAGTACAAATTGAATGCAGAGGGTGAGAAGCTAGTGTGGGTAATGCCCAACACATTAAGGTATAGAAAACGAAGTTGGAAATGCAGTCAGGACGTAAATATGAACAGCACAGCATGAGCTAGGGGCAACTCTGACTGTAAACATTCCCGTGTTTCTATCAGTTTGATAAGCATGCTCAGCTTCCTGGCACGTGAGCGTGATGCTGCCTTTCTGCGATCTATATATTGTTTTGGCTATATGTACACAATGGTGAAAACTCGTCCAACTCAATACCTACCACCTGTGCATTTTATTCTATGCTAATTATACCTTTAAAGCACTAAAAAGTTAGAATGTATGGCTACATGAATCTCGGATTATATGTCATTTTGTCTGCTTTCTGTGTAGGGAAATTGCCTCACTCACCATTGCAGTTGCTAGTCTTGTCTCCTTGTCAGACTTTGGCTTTTTATGAAGGCGTTCAATGTCCCGAAGAGACAGTAATTCACCTCTAAAGAGAGGAGAAAAATAAAATATGAAATAACGGTAGAATTTCTCTTCCTGATGCTTTCATTACCACTCTAGCTGACTGATGACCTGGTGAAAGTGCCATTTTACCTGGACTCCTCATCACTGTCTATTTCAATGTATTTTCTCTTCTGGGCTTTCCCAGGGGCGGCATTCAGTTCTTTCCTCATTTGAGCCATACGAATTTTCTGGAAGTCTTCCTGAGTTAAAACTCGACTCGTGCTGATGGCTGCAGCTTTGGCTTTCCGTTCCTCCACAGGCATGTTGTTCAATTTCTCTGTCTTCAAAGCATACAGGTAAAGGATTAAATGGCTACAGCTCAAGGGAGAGCTTAGCCATTCGCTTAGCCATTCCAATTTTAGTCTACCAACAAGGCCCAGTGAAAATTCATCTTAATAACACAAGGAAAATGCACTTGTAAAAGGAGATTTTATGACTTACAATTTCTTGCTGTTCTTCATCGGAAGAGTGGTGCACATCAACCCACTCACCATCAGCATCTTCCTCCTCACTGAGACTGGCACTTTCCCATCCATCTGTGGGAAAAAGAGCTCAGTGGTCAGAACTACTACTTTACGTATCTGTGTATTCAAATCAAGCAATGAAAAAGTAAGATAATAAACCTCAAGTAAAAACTCCACTGACCAAAAATTACCTCGAGTAGATACTCCACTGACCAAAAATTAAGCAATACTTATTGTTAAATAAGCTATATCAATTTAATTAAGGAATGGGAACTAAGCACTGATCAAAATCTACTGTAACTCAAAACTTAAAATCACTTCCTCTAACCCTCACAATATTAAAGAGGAACAGACTCCCGGAGTTAAGTCACATGTCAGAAAATGCAGCCTACAATGAAATCACAAAAATCATGTCTGACTCTAGAGTCCACTTTTTCCACTGAATCAACTGTGCCCATCAAAACTGCACTTGAATATTTAACTTGGGCACAGAGTTCATCCAAATATATTCATGTGCAAGAGACTAGCTTCAGTTATTCAGAGAACTGAGATGATTTTGGATGTTAAAAAAAACAAACAAACCTTGTAGACACCCCAATAAAGTGGCCCCTATGATCTAAAAGACAGTGTCCCAGCTCTGTGGTCTACACACAACCAGTCATGTTAAGATCTCCAATCTTTCCATGTGGTTTTGCCCTGAATGACAAAGTAAGTGAACCTTCAGGGGTTGGGAGTGTAGCTCAAAGGGAAAGGGAAAAGGAAAGTGAAAGGGAAGGAAAGGAAAAATGAACCTTCATCATTTTCAGCATTCTCTTCTTTCTCAACTTCTAGAACCTCTGCTCCTGGAATGTAATCTTTAGCATCTAATTCTCCATATTCTTGTACTCTTGCTTCTAAAGAGGCTTCAGTAGGTTTACCCTAAAGTATAAGGAATGGTTTATAAGAAGATGCTGAGATTGCAAAACATGTGATCAGGGAAAGTATTCTCTAGGATATGAATTTAGAAGGGAATACCATAAAAATTGGAGATTACATAATCAAATAACAGTCTGCTTATGTCTTAAGTCAAAGCAAATCCCCCATGTCCACTATTTTCTCACTCTGATCCAAACCAAGGAATTGGATAACTGTTCTGATTTTTTAAGGCTTAAAAGAACTGTCTTTTTCAGTCACATACATGTGTCCCTGCTCCCTGGATAGAGGTGGGAGCTGGATGGGAAACAGCCTGTTCCATACTGGAATCAGCTACTGACTGATCTTTGAGAGAGGAGTTGTTTTTTTGTGTGTGTTTTTTTTTTTTTTTTTTGCAGTACTGGGGTTTTAATTCAGGATTTAAGCTAGCAAAGCAGGTGCCCTATGGCTTGAGCCTCGCCTCCAGTCCAATTGACTGATCTTTGAGATTCCAATCTGTTGAAAACACCAAAAGCTCTCAAGGTGAAACAGCTTGATAGGTCTTCAAGACTCAATTATCAGCAAAGAGCACATGCCAGCTACAAAATATTTGGGGCAAGGGATTTGATCAAGTGCATTCTAACCTTAAAGAACAAAACAATGTACATCATCATCAATACTTAACATAGAAATATCACAAATACTAAAATTCAAACTGTAGAAACTTACTCTTACTTTCTGAGACCTTTCTTATTTATCTCTTTATTTTTCCATGTACTGGGGTTTAAACTCAGGACTCATACTTGTGAGGCAGGTGGTCTACCACTTAAGTGATACTCCCCAGCTCTTTAGCTTTAGTTATTTTTCAGGTAGTGTCTCGCATTTTTTGCTCTGTGATTAGTCCGAACTGAGATAATGCTCCTGAATTCTGCCTCCCAAAAAACTGAGTCAGTCAGGTGAGACCAAGGGAAGCACACTTTACCTACCCGGAATTTCTTCTGCAACATCTGTGGATTCAGTGTCCGGAAGAGCTGAATCAGAGTTCTAGCAGACATCATTACATCTATAAAATAATAACTCTGATTAGAAATTCTGCAGCAAAGATTATAGTGAGATAAAAATAAGTCACACTGCACCTGTGGCCTATAGAAAATAATATGAAACTTACTCTTATCTTTGTGTGTTTTATACTGAGCCAGGTCTTGGAGAAGTTCTTCAGTCATGGCTAGAGGACATCGAGCTGTTATCTCTTTTATAGCATTGATTCTAGAAAAGGAATTAAAAATAATGAGAGCAATTTTATTTAGTTCAATTTAAGAACAAAAGTAAATCAAAAGGAATTCAGGACTGGAGGCATGGCTCAAGTGGTAGATATTCTACCTGGCAAGCACAAAGCCCTGAGTGTCCCCAGAGCTCTCTCCAATCAAAAGGAACGCAAGTTGTCTTATATGGCTTAGGTCTCTAAAACTGTAGTATGTGAGGGTGCCAGTCTTAGAGGGCTTTCATTCCAGACAGTTACTGTCATTTCTTCTACTACTGGAATAAGGAACAACAGTACACAAATCCATGGCAGCATCTACTTGCCAACCCTAAAGAGAGATGGAACTAAGTCAGGTAAGAAAGAGGGGCTGGTAGAGTAAGTCAGATAAGAAAGTGGGGGCCAGTGGAGTGGCTCAAGTGGTAGAGCACCTGCATAGCAAGTGTGAAGCCCTAAGTTCAAACCCCAGTACTGCCAAAAAAAAAAGAGAGAGAGAGAAAGGGTAAAATCAACAGGGCTATATATGACATCAATATTTTCCAAGGATATAAAAAATAACTGTTTTGGCTGTCACTTATTTATCTGGACAGTTCAGAAAATCCTTGAACCAGTGCTTATATTTATAATTTTTGAATTAATAAAAGGGCACTGCTCTAAAATTAGAGGTGATTTAATAATAAATCATTTGTTCCAAGGTTAAGACAAATTCAGGTTGAGAGAATAACATAAGCACTTAGGTTGCTCAACAACCACACATGTGAAGAAGTAAAACTGAAAAACCAAATTGACGATTAAAGGACCAATACCTCTTCTCTAGTTCCTGCCTCAAAAATTCTGACCAGTAAAACAAAACATGAAAGTTGGGTATTGGTGGCTCATGCCTGTAATCTTAGCTACTTGGGAAGCTAAGATGGAAAGCATCATGGTTTAAGGCCAGTTTGGGTAAAAAGTTTGCAAGACTCCCTTCTCAACTGACAGCTGGGCATGGTGGTACACCTGTCACCTGAGTGACAGGTGGGAAGCTTAAAATAGAATGGTAGTCCACACCAGCCTGGGCAAAAAGTTAAAAAAACAGTGGTTATTTTGGCTAAAGCAGTGGAGCGCCTGCCTAGCAAACATGAAACCCTGAGTTCAAACTCCAATACCACCAGCCCTCTTCCCTCCCCAATCAAGTCTTGAGAGAAGACTGAAGAATGTTTTAAACTGCTTTCCTACAGGTCACAATGCCAGCTGAAATTGTACACCTTGGTAACTTAAAACAAACCTAATACACAAAAAACAACTACTGCCCCCAACCATTTCTACATACCCCACTGTCATCACTTCTCCAGAATTCTTGTCAGTTACAAAATTGTTGGCCACAGTCATGAGCAATGACTGAATGATCTGAATTGGGAACAAAAGAAGAAACAATTGCAGGTGATATATCTGTGTTCACTCAAACACCTGAGAGTAGAAGATCAGCAGATTATTCACTGGGGAAAAACAGTCCTGTGTCTTAAGTTTGGGATAAGGCAGGAATCTAAAGTAAGAAAGTCAGAGACAAAAATACTCCCCTCTGGAGTTCAGTCTTTTGAGTTATGCTCAGGCTAAATTTTATTCTCCTTTAACATTATTTTCAATAGGCAGAAAAGCCCCTGCTTTAATAGAGGATAACCCAACGCTCTTTTAATCAAAAAAAGGAATTACCTGCTTTGACAACTAATCACTATAAACTAATTTGGTTATTAACCAAAATCAGAATTCTCAACTTGTTGAAAGAAACCACTGTCTACGAACTGTACAACTGAGCATCTGTGTAAATATCCTTGGGAGTTAGTGTCTTCTCTCTTACTGTGGGAAGTGGCCCTGATGCATTGACAGTGGCACTGCTCCGCATGAACTAGATCCAGATGTCAGGCTAGGAATTCTCACCTCTGGGGGTACAAGGTGATGAGAAGCTTGTGCAGCAAACAGAAGGATCTTTGTTACTTCTAAAAACACAAGAGATGAGAAAGGGCAGTTCATGGATCTGCATAAACACAGCAAAAAAATTCCGGCCTTACTGCTATTGTTGCTACTCCCAGCTATCTGCATGGCTCACCCTTTGCCTCCTTCAGGTTCCTGCTCAACTGCCACCTCATCAAAAGGTCTCCCATGACTACACAAACTAAAATAAAACTGGCCCCATACTCTCCATTGTCTTACCTGCTTTTTTTCTCTTATCTTTACCTGGACATATCATATACAACAGTATCTGCATCTCTCTCTAGAACATCAGCTCCATGAGAGTAAGGTAAGGACTTTGCTTTGTGGGCAGTGTAAAATTCTTAGTGTCTAATGCACTGCTGGCATAGAAATCACTAAATAACTACTTGTTGAATGAATAAATAAACAGAAATATATGTATAATCATATACTCTCTTTTCAAAGGAGTAGCACAGTATATGTAGAGAATACCACCTTTGACAAAAGAAAGAAGTGAGGCAAATCCTGATCTGTAATTTATTTGATAAGCGAACTTAGCTGAGTTTTTTTCCTTTTATTCCTACATCTTGAAGGATTCATGTGAGGATTTGACATGATGATGTATGGAAAGCACTTTGCATAGTACTTAATGTTAAATCCTCAATAACTGTTAGTTTCCTTCTTAACTTGGTAACAATTCAAAAACAAAACAACCATCTCTTTTTTCCTGCTTTTATGTTGTTTTTAACTGGGAAGGCACTGAGAGCAGTAAGATAAAATCCTGTTATCACAAAGTTAAAGTAAAAGGTCAAACTCCTAGAATTTTCGACATGAGCATTCAGGGTATCACAAAAAGACTGGCACTGAGAAGCCATTTTTTGTTATTATCGTTTTTTAAAACAACTTTTTCTTACAACCGACATATGGCAGAGTCTAGATAGAAAATACAGGGTTTGGTAGGCAGGTATTCTATAGCTTGAGCCACACCTCCAAGCCCTCTTATCTCCATTTTTAATGATTTTAGAACAGTAGACTATATGGTTATTCTAATGTTAAGGTCACCAAGGGAACAGGAAAGTGGGCAGTTTACCTCTCTGATGGGGCTGCAGAAACCTTTGCACAAAAGGATAAAAGTTGAAGAGGAAAAGCTGTGGAGAAAAGAATGTGGCACTTTTATTATTTATGAAACTGAAGCCTGGAGTTTCATCTTTCCATAATGCATTTCTATCACCAAGATTAACCCACTGGGAATCATTTTTACTTCTGTTGTTTCCATAAGCAATTTGTCCTAGGATGATTCAATACAATTTAGTAACCAAGGAAAGAAACCCTCTCAACTGGCCTTATGCTGATTCCTTCATATGTAAAGGAGGAAGAAAGTATATACAGAATAAAGGGAGAGAGGCAAACAAAATATAACACTCTTCCATTTTTAAAACTGGTGTGGCTATAGAATTGATGTTTTGGTGATCAAAGAAAGGAATAGCATTGACATTAAAGTTCTAAAGCAAGGGACAGAATAAAAATTCATATGAGTGTGGTAGTGCACATCTGTAGTCCTAGCTACTCAGGAGGTGGAGGCAGAGGATCACTAGCTGAGCACACTAGGCAGGCATTCCACAACTGAGTTATAATCCCAGCCCCATTTTATTCTTTTTACTTAAAAAAGTTTATGCTGGGTACCAGTGGCTAGCTATAATCCTATCTACTTAGAAAGCTGAAACAGGGAGAACCAAAATCTAAGGCCAGCCTGGGGAAAAAGTTCACGAGATCCTATCTCAACACTAGCCTGAGCAAAATGGACTGGAGGCAGGGCTCAAGCGATAGAGCATCTGCTTTGCAAGCATGAAGCCTGAGTTCAAACCCCAGTCTCACCAAAAAAAATTAAAAAGTTTAACATCACTTCTTTGTGGCCTAAATTTTTGGGCATATCTCTTTTTCCATAATGGCAGCTAGTCTAAGAGTATGTGTGAAGTTATCACATGTATACACCGTGTGTGTGTGTGTTTATGATATGTGTACAAAAATACCACTAAGGAGGTCTTGCAATCTAATTTATTATAAAGGAAGTAAGCAGGAAACTGAGCTTTGCAAGCATAACAATTTGCTACCAGAGAGATCTAGAAGTCAAGAAAGCCGTGAAGGATTAAACAGAGTGTGAAAGATAGTAAGAGTCAATAAAAATATGTGGGTTATTCTGGCTTAGGAAAATGTATATGTGATATAAAGTGAAGAAGAAAGTACAAAGAACACAAAATAGTTATTCATAAACTGCATGTATGTACAAATTAATATTCAGACTTATTCAAAAGAAAACAGTAGCAAAAATAGGCCTTTTCAGATGGGAAGACTGTATTCTTCTGCTAATTGTGTGGGTATAAGAGGTTAGGAACTGAAGTTATGACACTGTGCTACCTAATAGCTTTCCTTTCACCAAGAATTTTCTACTTGAAACATCTACCAAGAGAAACGGAATGTACTTCAAACCTCGTGAATTCCCACCAATCTGGAGATTAGGCTCATGAGCATCATCCTCACTTCAAACCTCTCCTTAGAGTTCTCTAGCTGCTTCAGTAGTTTTTCTGCAAAATCTGAAAAGGAGGTTAAAGAAGTACACTGTGGTCCATAGCCTGTACATTATCCAACAGGCACAGGGAAAAGCCTCAATATTGCCCAAAGTCACATCTTCAGGATTTTCAAGCTTTTAGCAAGATTCTAGACTGACTGACAGGTACTCCTCTTAATACCTCTTTAGTGTCTTGCTTATGCAAGTGCAGTCTACAGACCAGTAGCAGCCAGTCCATCAGGGACCTTCTTAGAAATGCAGAAGGCCCCACCCAAACCCCACTGAATCAAATGGGCACTTTAACCAGTTACCCGGGTAATCTGTAGACACATTAAAGTTTGAGAAGCACTGATCTACAGCAAGCATTAGCAAATGTTATAGTACATTAAAGACAGCACTTAAAACTCCCAACATCCACCAGGCACCAGTGCCTCATGCCTATAATCCTAGTTGCTTGGGAGGCTGAGATCAGGAAGATCACAGTTCCAAGACAGCCCAGGCAAAAAGTTTGTGAGACCCTATCCCAGAAAAAAGCTGGGTGTGGTAGCATGAGTCTGTCAGCAGCTGTAGTGGGAAGTATAAATGAGGAGGATCGTGATCCAAGTCAACCTGGGCAAAAAGTGAGACCCCCCATCTTCAAAATAACTAGAGCAAAAAGGGCTGACTCAAGAGGTCGAGCACCTTAGCAGGTGTGAAGTCCTCAGTTCAAAACCCAATAGTGAAAAAAAAACATCCAGCCATTTCCCATACCATCTAAATTATAATCCTAGGGTTAACAGGACTCAAACATCAGTACAGATCTATAAATTCTCTAGGCGGTTCTAGTTTGAGAGCTAGGGTTTTAGAACAGAGCTTCTTAGACTTTTAGTTTCCACAGACCAAGTTTTTTTCTTTTTGTTTTTTTTGTATTGGGGTTTGAACTTAGGGCCTTGTGCTTGCTAGGCAGGCACTCTACCTCGAGTCACATTCCTGGTCCCCACAGATCAGCTTAAAAAAAAGACCAATAGTGGACTACCAATTTTCATTGGTTAAATACAGTATCTTACTACTTTTGTGTTATTAAAGATATGAATCTCAGAGAGACCTGATCATCCCCATTTTTCTTATTTTGTTAAAGACTGGGAATCACTGCTTGACAACATAATTCTTTAGTTACAATCAAGTATAACAACTAGCATTTATTGATTGCTCGTAAGTACTGGGAATCTTATACTTCCTGACAACCCTGAAAACAAAAACCCAAACAGACGGTGATAAGGCCAACAAAGAATTTGGGAAATCATAATTATAGTACCTTGGGGATCATGAATCAAGTGAATAGCTGAAAAGTTAAACACCTCAGGCTTTTTCTTCTTCTTTTGTTTCTAAAACAGAGGGAGAGAAAAAACTTTTCATTCTGAACTACAGTGATAAATGTCTATGGAATTCAAAGTGTTAATGTGTTAAAGGCTGTTATCAAGTCCATCACACTATTTAAAAGAAAAATGGGACTGAGAGCATGACTCGAGTGATGGAAGGATTGCTTAGCAAGCCAAAGGTCCTGAGTTCAATCTCCAGTACCAAAAAATAAATAAATAAAAACTACTCGTGACAAATACAATAAAAATTATTTTAAAAAATGCAGTTGTACAGTGTGCTTAGCATGCACAAAGTCCTGGGTTCAATCCCTAGCACCAAAAAAGAAAGAAAAAAAATTCTTGTTCTAGAGATCTTTCAACTGGACAAAGTAAAGAGTTTCTGTCTTTTAAGAGTAAACCTTAGTCAGGCACTGGCGGCTCACACCTATAATCCTAGCTACTCAGGAGGTAGAGATCAAGAGGATTGCGGTTTAGGGGCACCTGGACAAATAGTTCTCCAGACTCTATCTTGAAAAAAATCCATCACGAAAAAAAGCTGGTAAAGTGGTTCAAGGGGTAGGCCTTGAGTTCAAACACCTGTCTGCAAAAAGAAAAAAAGCAAACCATGGAGCTGGGCATGGTGATCACACCTGTAATCTCAGCACTTGGGAGGTTGAGGCTACAAAGAGAGCAGGTTTGAGGCCAGTCTGAGCTACAAAGTGAATTTGAGGCTAACTTAGGCTACATAGCAAGACCCTGTCTCAAAAAAAAGATTGAAACTTGTGAATGGTCCAGTCATTAGTACCTATAGGACTTGAAGGGATTTAGAAACATAAACATTAAAAAACATACAAAGGCCAAACTAAGGATATTCGGATTACTCATTATAAGGAATCACATGTACTTCACTCCTGTGTCTTCTAATAGGACATCTCTAGAAAAGATGTCCTAGTAAAACCTTTTGATCAGAGCAATACAGTGAATTTAATCACACTGATTTGTTCAAGTCACAGATTTTGCTACAGCCAAATATTTATTCACTAAAAATTAGTGCTTAAATATTCATCACACACATGGTTCAGTTTTTACAAATTGCTAGTCCTCAATTTCAAAGCCTTGAAAGCTCTGGCTAAAAACTACATATTTTGCACTGCAGTGATCCCTACCTCAGTTCTCTGGTACAAGACTCACCTTGAGCACTTTCATTGCCTTTTCCAACTTTTTCTTGTTTTTTGAGCTCTTCTTTCCTGTGGCATACTGTACTAGTAGGTCTCTTGCTGTGGGTCCTTCATCCTGAAGAAGAAACTACTTTGTAAAACTGGAAACAAGGAAAATCTGCACAGAAGCAACATGGGAACCTTTCAACTACCTTTTGGTTCTTATATTCTGCACACACCTATTAAAGATGATCACAACTTCTAAAATCAAGTAAAAACTATGCATGCATGTGTGCAAAACAAGGCATATACAACCATTTTCACTGCAGCAGTGACTTTTATATTCTGCTTTTCACTTCAGTGTCATAAGGACAGCACAACTTTGTTTTATTTGAAAGAAACTGGAAACAAGTATTTATTAATAGGGCAATGCTTAAAAAAACTATAAAACATTCTTATTCTAAAATATGTGGAGGTTGTTTCTTAAGAAGACCTAAATGCACTGTTAGTACTATATATATTGACACAAAGAAATCAAGTTGAAGAATACATGCTATTCAGATGAGTGTATGGACAATGAGTATATGGAAATAAGCCTCCTACACACATAAGACTACATATACATATCCATATAAACGCACAGGAAACAAAATGATTACCTGTGAGGAAGGAACTGGGAAGTAGAAACAACAAGAAAACTTTTATAGTATCTGAAATTTTTCCACAGTGAAAATGTGGAAAAAGTGATGTGGTTACACATCACTTAAAAGATGTAATCACCTGTTTCAGATCTAGTTACCAAAATGATAAAATGGGTAAGGGAGATTTCTTTTTTAAGGAATTTCTTCTTTTTTAGTACTTTAAAAAAATTTCACCACATCATAAATCTTGATTTTTCTTTTAAAGGAACCATGATTTTATTCCCCTTCCTTCTCCCACTGTAAACTTCTGCGATATTGATATTACCTAAAAAAATAGGTTGGCAGCCATTTTTATTCTAAATTTATTTAGCAAAATAGAGGTATAGCTTTAGAACTAAAAATAGAGAATAGGACGGATTTTTTTTATTATTCTTATTATTTGGCCAATCTACTTGCTACAAAAATCTCTACATGGCAGAACTCAATAAAGGACAAAAGTAACATACAAATTTCTTTTTACTTGAGCAGTAAAATTCAGAAGCATCTGTGACTAAACTAACCTCAGATTCTGAGTCGCTGTCCTGTTTCTCATCTTCATCTTTCCCAAGGAAGAATGTCAAAGCAGCAACTAATATCTAAAGACCAATCAGCAAAAAGTCTATTTAACTCAGCTTACAACAAAGAACAAATACTTTCCTTCACACTTTATACAAGTTAGGATCTGAAGAAAAAAAAAATCCAAAGAGCAGTAAGATTTTTGCTTTTTCTCAATTAAATCTGTATATGATGTCGCTTGTCCCATAAATATGTAATTTTTGAAAGTCTTTAACTAGGGCTAGAGGTATAGCTCAGTGGTAAAGGGCATGCTTAACATATACAAGTCCGTGTGTTCAATCTGCAACACTCCAAAAAAAACAAAATCGAAAAAACCCCAAAAACCCTTAACTACATAAAAACTTAGATTTTTATAGTATCCTTCCTTTTTCCACTGTCAAGAATTTGTATATCCCCCACAAGAAAAGTGACATCACAGCCCTTCAAACACAAAGTCAAATTTAGTCCTTTAATTTCTATCAACTGTGCCCAAGCCCAATAGGAGAAAAGAATCACAGGGAAAAACTTATTAATTATCTTGTGATACTCACACTTGACTCCTCTAAAACACAGATGACCCAGGAAAGCAGTCTGAGTACAAAGCAAGCAAGCATTATTAAACAGACTTCCTTGTCCTCATGCCACTTCTTCCTCACATCACTGTGTCCTCACCTTCCATCCACAGAAACAGACCACTCTACAACAATGCTTATACACAGTCTTAGAAGTGCTCACCTTGGTGACCTTAGAGAAACATGCAGTTGTGATAACATTGACGGTTTTGGCATCATTCCTGGAAGGAGACAATGAGTGTATGGAAATAAATTTTCATTCTACTACACTTCATAATACAGACAACGGCACAAAATAAACAACGTAATGAATACATCTGCATTAGAATTTTTCTACTCTAATATTTTAAAGAATCATGGGTTGCTAAGTTAGTCAACTACAAGTGGAACATTTAAGTGAATTTTAGCCCACTCTTCATTTGACCTTAGCCAAAAGTCTGAGAAGTGATTAAATTTTAGCTCACTCTTATGATAAAAGATTTACAGCCATTAAGATGACATATTGAAGAATTTTTAATTATTAGCAACCTACTCAAGGTAAGTGGGGACAATTAATTAAGGAATAAAACCCTGCAATACAGCAAAATTCCAACCTTATAAATGCACGTTAAATAAAAAAGACCCTCACCTTTTACCATAAAATATTAACAGTGATCATCTCTGGGTGGTGAGATTATATGTAATTAAAAAACAAGCAAGCAAACAAACAAAAACCCCCACTTTGCTAGTCTCTCCAAATGTTCTGTTGCAATGATTATTACTTTTACAGTTAAAAAAAAAAAAAGCAAAAATCATGACTTAAGGACCGCAGCAACAAAATAAAAGTATATAAAGCATGATATTTTACTTATACAACATGAATTACTTTAAAAATCTTCAGAGTAGCAGACCAGTAGCACAGATTTTGAGGTCAGACAGACCTGGGTTTAAATTTCAGCTCTGCCTCTTAATAGCTAAACTCTATCTATTAATCTCTACTTTGTTACCATAAGATGGAGATAATTCCCGATTAGCTACACTTCTTCTCAAGTTATTCTAAAGGCCAAATGAGGTAATGTAAAGTGCTAATCTCAGCACATGCTCAAGAAATGGTAGCCAATGTTATCAATCTGTACTTTAAATTCCAACTTAATCTTTGACAGAGGTATATTAAAGAGCACAAGATCAAAATAGATTGTATTGAGTTCTGCATTATTTACAAATGAAAAGAAAGATCTGCTCAAGAGAGAAATTCATGTTTCTACTACCAGATGTTCCTTCTGTAGAGTTCAATCATCACATCCAAAGACATCTTGGCTGCAGTTGCATTGCTGTCTCTTAACATGGTATACATGAAATTCTGCAATATCTGAAGAACAGAGAGAGAGGGCTGAATACACTGATGGCACGATGCTGCAAGCACAGAAAACAAAAGGGTACTTACTACATTCACTTTATTGTTCTTGTGTTTTGCATTTATATTCTTGATGTCCGTCACAATATGTGTGTATAAAGTCTGAGGAAAAGAAACAGAACATACACATGAAACCTAACCAACATTTCTGACCTTGCTAAATTTGAAAAAAAAGTACAAATGTACAGAAAGACTTAATTTTACCTACTGCTCATTCTATCACAAGAGATCCAAAATAAGCAAGCAAACAAACAAAAAGCAGCTAAAAAACAAAGTTTCCTTCAAAAGGTCAAACATGGAACTTTTATTACCAATAATTCCACTCCTAGGTATTTACCAAAGAGAAATGAAAACCCATTTCCACATCAGTGTTCACATAAATATTCATTGCAGGATCATTCATAATAGACACAAAATAAGCAACAAATTGTCCGTTAAAATGTGTTATATCCATACAATGAAATATTATTTGACAATAAAAAGGAATGAAAGTACCTATACATGCTACAACATGGACAAACCTTAAAGGACATTATGATAAGTAAAAGAAGATAGTCACAAAAGACCACCTATTGTATGACTCCACTTATGTGAACAAGCAAACCTATAAAGGCCAAAAGTAGATTGGTGACCACCTACAGCTGGAAGAGATGGGGGTGAGGGAGGTGGGGAGGACTGACTGCCAAATAGAATGGATTTCTTTTAGAGTGGCAAAACTGGTCTAAAATTTGTTGTGGTAACAGTTGCCTAATTCTGTGACTATATTAAAAACCACCAAAGCAGATAAACTGCATGTTAATTATACCTCAATAAAATTATTAAAAGAGAAAAAGAAAGTTACTTCACTTACTGAGCACCTAAATGAATGCATGACAATTCTGGGAATACAAACATCACTGATGCCCAAACATGCTCCCATGGACCACTGCTAGTCTACAACTTAGACCAGAAGTGTTATGTGCTTAAATCAAATAGTAGCAGTCTCTTAATAACTTTGAAAAAATTTTAGATCAATGAATGTAGACTTAAGTTTTTCTTTCTTTATTCTGTTTCATAATGGCTGGGATATAGCTCAGTGGTTCAGGGCTTGCCTAGCAAGTGCAAGGCCCTGGGTTTAATCTCCAGCACTGCATGAAGAAAATGTGCTTCATAAACCTTCAGCTGCTGGTCAAATACAAAGTCATGAGAAAAATCTAACAAGAAGAAAAGTTAAGTTTTATTGGGTAGAACAGGTAGCTACCAGTGTTCACGTCCTGATTTAGCTAGTCAGCATAGTACAGTTGTTAAGAGTTTGGGTTTTGGAGCCAGACTACCTGGGTTTATATTCTGGCCCCTCCACTCAGAAGCTGGGTGACCTTGGGCAAATTACTCTATCTCTTTGGTCCTCAGCCTTTTTATATGTCAAGTCACAATAGCAATAATCTCTATATCAGAGGTCTTTGTGAGGCCTCTACACAAAGGCTGAGGGTGGTGTTTGGCCCACAGTCTGCACTCAGTATGTGCTAGCTATTAATACCATACTGCACACGCACATGGTTGATTTTCTTCTACTAAAATTACTCTTAACTCATCCAATGATGTAAAGCATCAAGGATCCAAGTGACTCTGAATGCTGTGTGTTTTGGTCACCTTCAGAAAGAAGAAGCTGCAGGAAGAAAACGTTGTTGCTCTTACCTTTCGCAGAAGCTTATCATGGCAACGCAGAAGTTCAAAGAAGAGCTCCAGCAAACCTGACGGATTGATGAGATTCTTATTTCTCAGCAAGATCAAAGCTTTGCAAAAGGTCTCAGGGATGAAAAGAAAACACACTATAAGACAATGGTAAAGTTAATCAAACGAAAAAATGGATCATACATGTTCCAAAGAGCTTTATGCTTTTTACTAATGAAGGCACTATTGTAAGCACCAGAACAGTCTCTGGGCACTTGTGAGGCTGAGGCAGGAAGATCGTGAGTTCAAGGCAAGCCTAAGCTACATAGTGAGACCCTATTTTTTTTTTTTTTTTTTAAAAAAAGACAGTCTCTGCCCTCTCTTGAGCTTACATTAGGGTGGAACAGAACAGGAGATCCACATACATAGGAGTATCTTAGATAACTGTCATGAAGGAAGTAAAATAAAATAAACAAGATTGGTAAATTCTGATTAAAGAAGGGCAACTTTTCAGAGAGATGTCAAGTAACGCCTCTCTGAGTGTTTTTTTGCTTTGCCTTCTTTCAGTGCTGGGGATCAAACCCAGAGTCTTCTACATGTTAGGCAAGTGCTCTACCACTGAGCTACAATGCCCAGTCCAAGCAAGGTCTCTGTGGAGAATGTCTTAGTATGACAAAAACCCTAATGGCCAAAGAATCCACAGGATAAGACAGTTGAGGCAACAATAACATAATACCCTAAATTGGAATAATCAACGTAAGTCTGTGGCTTCACACGAGGCATTCTTTTTTAGCACTGTGAATGGCCCATCAGTACTTGTAACACTCTTGATTACCACCAACTTCCATGTGGAGCCCTATCACCCAAATTTTGGTCTCTAATACTTCTCTCCATTAGAAGAAACAAGAAATCCTTGGAGAATAGTTGATTCCATATCTTGGGGCAGGAAAAACAGTAAGAACGGGTTTGTAACTATTTCTGCCAGAATATAAGGATGCTTCCAAAAACAGCAGGAGCACTGCTGTAAGTACTAAGAAACTTCCCCCAGCCATGTGGCAACAATATAGATAGGAGACAGTAAGGCTCAAAAAGAAGTCAACAAAAAGTACTTTAAGAGAAAGTTACAATGTCAAATAAAAAGAAACATAAGTTCAATCTTTACTGACTTTATTAAGTTAATATACATATGTATTTGTTTCTTCCACCAAAAAATATGTCTCTATCCATATAAGCAGGAAAGAGTAAACAAAAACTTGGAAAGGATTCCAAAAGTGCTGAATAAATAGCCAAACAAACTAGGTAGAAAGAAAATATAGCAAAACCCCATCTTGAAATAAACAAACAAATAAATAAAATGAAGTAGAGAAATATATGCACACATGTATTTAATAAACATGCCCACAGACCAATTTGGTTGGATACTGCCAGTCATGCAAAACTTAAAGAATATCTAATTAATTGGAAAGACACCATTCTCTTCACCAAAACCTCAAATCTGAATGACTTATGAGGACTTGAAAAGTTATCCAACAAAGGAGAAAGCCTAGGGCTGGTGGAGTGGTTGGCTGAACAAGTATGAGGCCTTGAGTTCAAACCCCAGTACTGCCAAATAAATAGGCCAGGTGCTTAAACCTGTAATCTTATCTACTTGGGAGGCAAAAATCAGGAAAATGGCACTTCAAGGCCAGTCTAGGCAAAAAATTAGCAAGACGCCATCTCATTCAATAGCTGGATATGGTGGCACATGCCCGTTATCCCATCTACAATGGAAGCATAAATAGGAGGATCACGGTTCAGGCCTGCCCAAGCATAAAGTGAGACCCTATCCCAAAAATAATGAAAGCAAAAAGGGCTGGGAGCATGACTCAAGCAGTAGTAGAGTGCCTGCCTAGTTAGCATGAAGTCCTGAGTTCAACCCCAGAAAGGAAAGGGGAAAGGGTGAAGCAAAGAAAAAGCAAAAGCAAAAGAAAAATAGAAGCCTTTCAACTGATGGGAGTCTGAAGCCCTTGGGCTGCAACGGCCCACGTTCCTAAGTCAATTGCTGAAAACCCTGGCTTGTCTGAGATGGTATTTTCCTCTTGGGGCCTAGTTAATTTAAAAAAACCCGCCAGGTGCTGGTAGCTCACGCCTATAATCCTAGCTACTTAGGAGGCAGAGATCAGGAGGATTGTAGTTCAAAGCCAGCCCAGGCACAGTTCACAAGACTATCCCAAAAAACCCTATCAAAAAAATTGGGCTGGTGGAATGGCTCAAGGTGAAGGCCCTGAGTTCAAGCCCCAGTACTATAAAAACAAACAAACAAAAAAGAAACTACAGTTTCTGGCCATGGTGGGGCATGCCTATAGTCCCAGCTATTCAGGAGGCTAAGGTGGGAGGATTGCTTGGCCCAGGAGTTCCAGACTGGCTTGGGTAGTATGTAGGATCCTGTCTTGGGGAGACAAAAAAAATCCTAGAGAAATATAAAATGACAGAATTACATAAAGCCTGGGAAAATTTAAGAATAAGAAACACAGTGGAACCTATGAACTTCACATCTTACAAGTTTTGGTATAGGATACTGACATGTTTGTGATCAAAATTATTTGTGCAAGTACCTGCTGTAAAGGTGTTAGAAGGGCAGATGTATTAAATTTGAAAATGCCTTAGGTTGGGCTGCCTGGAAGCAGAGACTGACTTGTGACAAGTATTGTAGGAGTGTGCTCTCAGAAGGGAAGGGAAGTAAGCAGGCCAGAGCAAGAAAAAAAACTCAGCCAAAGATGTGTCCTTGGCTAGAGACTAGCTTTAGTCCAATCACTGGGAAGCACAAATTTCAACAGAGCTAGATCTACCATGAGTTAAGGGGCTGGGCTTCCTAGCTCAAGATAATCAGCTAGGAGGGCAATTCCCCAGATCTAGGACTCCCATTTAGTTTAGGCCAAGGCTTCAGAGGATGGGCATCTGAGAGTCATTAGCAGATGACATTCATAGCATGTGGCAGAAACAGGTACACTGAGCTGGTACAGAAGATCTCCAACAGCACCCAAGGTCAATGTGCAAATGTTTCAAGCTTAAATTGGCTGTTTAAATGGACAAGTTTATTGAATCAAGTACTATAAAAACTACATGTTATAATTAGTGTTCTTCAGGCATATGAGATTTAAATGAGTAGAAGGAATTGTCTATTCAAAAGAGAGAAAAGAGCACCCCAGCAGGGTTAGCATATGGGAAGAACAGAAAGATCAGAGAGAAAAGTAACAGAAAAGGAGATGAGCTACGAAACAAAGGTGGGAAGCAGATCACAGGTAGGACTTGCAGGCCATAATAAGTTTGAATTTTATTGTAGGTATAAATGAGAAGCCATGTAAGAATTTTAGGACAGAATGACTGTTCTGATTTACATTTTTAAAACAGGGTTAGCTGAAGGTTGCTCTCATTTAAACACATTATTGTGTGCAACCATGAACACAATACTGCTCCTACCATTCGAAGATCTGGATCCAAGACAGTGTGATTGTAGGAGAGAAGATCTTTCAGCTCTTGAGGAAAGCTACTCAGCTGTTCTGGGTAGCAGTGGCCAATCTGTAACAAAGCAAAGGGTCTTCTGAAGTCTCTCTTTCTCTCCTGTAATTCAGATGAAGAAGGAGAGCGAAGGCTGTTCCATGGACGCAGATGGTTTGGAGCCACCAGTTTTTCCCTGTGTGCCATTTCCTCCTCGCATTCTCACAGCTCTATTCTCTGTAAAGTGTGTGACACGACCGAGAACTGGCCTGTCTGATGAATTTGGGGGAAAACCCTTGATAGTTTTCTTCTGGTTGGTTCTATGAAAAGATGTAGCAAAATCTTCTAACACGCCACAGGAAGAAAATAAAATCAGCAAAAGGGAAAGCTTTAGGAAAATTTTAAGTTTCTACCCCAAAATGGAATGAAGTATTACTGAAAAAAATATTCTGCAAATTGTGTAGAATTGACTTTTTATTTTTTTTTAATTTATTTTATTCAGAAATTAGCTTACCTGTGCCAGAAACATAACCAGCTCTGCCAGTTCTTTGCTTGGCTTGTTTGGTTGTAACTTGAAAATCTCCACATTAGATCTGTAGTGATTATACTGCTGGAGAAACTGTAGAGAAGTAAAATTTAAGTTTGTAATCCTCTATTATGTGACTCTCCCAATACAGAAAAAAAGTCTTTGACAATGGCACAGAGAAAATGATGGGACTAAATATATAAAATACTTCTTTTTCCTTATCTCCAAATGAGTTTTGAAAAATCTAAGCACATCACAGACAATCCAAAGATCCTTGAAATTATCATTAGAAGTTTAGGTAGTGTGGTGTAAAGTACAGTAAACAAGAGTCAAAAAAAACTCAGATTCTGGCCATTTTGTCATTTACAACATGAACCACGTATGGAGAGCACTCAAATCAGCAGAAAAATACCAGGCCAGAAAATGTGAAGTATATCTCAAGTACATGAAGCTCTCCTGTCAAAAATTCCTCTTTGAAATACCCACAAAGACTTTAACAGGATAGGATGTGTTAATGAAATGACAATAGCTTCCATCTACTTAGCACTTGCTATGTGCAGAGCTTATTATGTACATCAGCTCATTTAATTATGCTTAGTCCCGACAACAACCCAACGGTTTAAACATTGGAACTGGTCAGCCAAACCTCAGTTCCATGCCTTATAGTTACTCTCCTTCCATAGTCCAAGTTTTATTTTATTTTTGTGGTGCTGGGGATTGAACCCAGGGTATCATGTGTGCTCTACTGCTCAGCTGCACCACAGCCTCTCATAGTCATGTTTAAATTGTGGGTGAGAGAAAGAAGAGATAAATCTTTCTACGAGAAAGCCCTCACTAGTCAGTGAACTCCAAATTCACTTTATCTACTCACCTGTCTGACATCTGCTTACATTTAATTCATTTCCCTGACAAAACTCCTAGGCCTCCAGTTTTTTCCAAGTATAGGGAGTCAAAAAGTAGACTGCATGATTCACATGAGACCATATTTCTTGAGTCCACACCTCCACTGAGAGGGTTGAGAAAGCCCCAGTACTCTTTGTGCTATCTGTCTTGAGATGATAAAAACTAATCTTATTCTGCCCTTTATGTGCATCAGTAATCACAGAAGTCCAGACTCCCAGGCCATTCCTCATCCCCCATACTCTAATCTTCATGCAGTGTATCCCAAAATTCTCAGGGTAGGAACATAAAACTCTTTTTAAGCAGCCCAGTCATTCTAATGCTCCATTGACTGTGGTTCTCTCCTGAAACATGGCTACATCATTTTCTTTCAGCATGTTCTCCTTGATGCTACTTCTAGAGCTCCAGACTAATTTTGTTCTTTTCCTTAATTGTCCCCACTCCCAGTGTTGAATCTTATGTCTCTAGTTCTGCCCATCAGTAGTATGTAGATTGCTGTTTATTTCTACCATCTTTTGAGACAATCTGAATTCCACTTCACTCTCTAACTTCCAGCCCATTTCCCCTCTTCAGAAAAACTCTTTTAAAGAATTGTACAAGCCGGGTGCAGTGGCTCACATCTGTAATCCTAGCTACTTGGGAGGCTGAGATCCAAAGGAGCATGGTTTGAGGCCAGTCCAAGTTCGAGACCCAATCTAAATCAATAAAAAAGCTGGTATGGTGGCATGCACCTATCATCCCAGCTATGTGGGAAGCATAAATAGAAGGATGGTGACCAGGCCACCCAGGCATAAATGTGAGACACTATATGAAAAATCCTAGAGCAAAAAGGGCTGGAAGCATGGCTCAAGTGGTAGACTGCCTGTACAGACTCTGGCAACCACTAGTCCTCTTTCTGTCTCTATGGATTCACCTCTTCTGGACATTTCATAAAAATGGCATCATACTCCAACCATTTTTAAAGCTATTCTAATCAGATTTCTGCACCCATTTGTTTACCCAAACTGCTCCTATCAAGGTAGCCAATGATATTTACATTCTTAAATTTATGGGTAATTTTTCACTGCTTATCTTATCCCACTCATCAACATCTGACATTCTTGCTCCCTCCCTCTGAGAATACCGTTGGCACTTGGCTCCTAGGACACCACCTGGTTTTCTTCCTACTTCATGGGCAGTCTTTCCAGTCCTTTTTGCTAGTTACTCAGCAGCCCTCTAGCCCTAAATGATGGGAGTCCCCAAGGTTTTCTTTGACCCTCTGGCCAAAGACATCACCATTTCTTACTGTGGATGATTCCAAGCCTCTTAACTGACATCTCTACTTCTACCTTTGCCCCCAATGTATAGTCCATCCTGAAAACAAGCCATGGTGACCTTGTTCTCGCAAGGCTGTTCAAATATTCCTCTGCTTCAAATCCTGTAAAGGCTACCATCCCACTCAGAGCAAAGCTGAAGTTCTTAAAAACAGCCAACTCTGTAAAATACTGCTTTATCTCATTGCGTATCACTTTCTCTTTCCTCTTTTCCCGAGTAGAACTACAACAACCTCCTTTATGTTCCTCAAACCTACCAGGCACGTTCCTGCCCTAGGGTCTTTATATTGGGTGTTCCTTCTACCTAGATTGCTCTTCCTCTAAATAGATGCACAGCTCTCCCTCACCCCCTTCAGACTTTTACTGAAGATCTTCCCTATCTATCCTGTTTAAAAGTTCAAGGTCTCCTTCATCCTTCCCCCCACCCCACCAGGCATTCTTGTGTTTTCTTCATAGCATTTACCATCACTTGAATCATTTGACTTGCTATTACATATCTGTCTCCTCCTACTATAATGAAATCTAGCAAGGGTAGGATTTTTACCAACACAATTCACTACTATAGTCCCAGTGTTCAGCACTGTGAGTAGCATACAACAGGTAATCAACAATATTTTTCTCAAATAAATGAACTTTGGTAAATGGCACTATCATCTATCTAGGTGCAGAAATATACATTAAAAAAAAATCTTTCATTCCTTCCCCCTCCTTCCATTCCCCAATCCACTGCCCAAGGAAATCCTGCAAGCTATACCTCCACATGGAGTAGTGCCAACTTGCCAACTTTTCCCAATTCTACTTATAATTTCAGTGGCACCAGGTCTCTCCTTGCCTGGACTACTCCAACACCCACTAGAATACCCTGTTTCCAGTGTTGCTCCTCTACAATCCATTTTATATAGAACTTTCAAGGTAAAAATTTTAAAACATAAGTAAGGTCAGGTCACTTCCCTGCTTAAACCACTTCTATGGCTCCCCAAAAAGACCCTGAGTGACGTGCATTTCCCACATAATCGCCCTCACTGCCCTCCTCTATGCCCACTACAGTTCAGTCACACTTGTTCCCCTCCAATTCTTTCCACCAAGAAGTTCTGCTCTTGTCATTCCTTCTGTCTAGAATGCTCTTGACCTGTCTGGTACAATATCACCATTGCAGAAAATCCTTCTCTGTTCATGGTGTCTTGGTCAGCAGCCTCCTATTCTATCATATTCCCATCACAGTCCTTACTGTATGTCTACCCTTGCTAGAACAGAAGTCCAAGAGAAGAAGGCTTTTCTGTCTTTTTTTTTTGTGGCACTGGAGTTTGAACTCAGGACCTCACGCTTGTAGCAGGCACTCTTACCACTTGAGCCATTCTGCCAGCCTTGTGATGGATTTTTTCAAGATAGGGTCTCGTGAACTATTTGGACAGTCTGGCTTCGGACTGTGATCCTCCTGATCTCTGCCTCTTGATTAGCTAGGAATAAAGGAGTGAGATACAAGTACCTGGCACATGGCCTCAGTGAGCACACAAATGGTCAACAACAGAAACAGAGTTGTGAGTTAGTTGTGAAGCCAATGCTCTCAACTTACTTCTTTGTCAATAACTGGACAGTACTTTAATGATCTCAAAGCATTGCCTACATTACTAATTACTTGTACATGCTTCTTACTGTTCACTGCCTTGATGCCTGAGAAGGCTCTATACTTGTGACCTGAACAACTGTTTGCTAAAAAGCACTCACATAAATAATTGTATGTGAAAAGATACAAATTTGAGGGAGAAGGGCAATCAGAAGATGAACTGCAGTAGCTATTGAACAAACCACAATGGAGCAAGGAAGCAGCACAAACAAGCAATTGCAGTAAATGCCCAAGAGAGAGATGTGTGTAATGCTTATGAGACAAATGGGTGTCGGAAGTACCTACCAAAATGAATCAAAATTAATTTAAAACCCCACCACCTTAATTTTGTCACTTCATAGCTCAAACTCATTTAAAATTCACAATTCATGAGGTCAGTACATAAAGCCCTTCACAATCTGGGCCTCATTTTTTCCCAAAGCAAATTCTGACATCCACGTCATGCTAGCTTCCAATGAGCTAAGAATCCTGGCTTAACTAGATAAACTAAACTCCAGATTCTGACTCTAGCATCTTGAGAACTTCCTACTTCTTCCTGGCACAGCTCAGGCCATAGAGCGGGCTCTTGGAAAAGGACAAAAGCATCTTAATCCACCAGTCATCCACTAATTCATATTAGGAGTTTCTGAAAAGGCGAGGCTGACAAACCTGATGGGAGCTGGAGGCTGAGAATAAGCCCCTTATCTCCGCCTCTAAACTAAACCCTACGGCAAAAGGAAGTTTTTAAGCGGTGTTTCCAAGGTAGTAGGTCCACAGATCAGGTAGAAAATCCAAAGGCACCGCATGTTTTTAGGCAGTGAGAAACAAACTCTAAGGCTCCTCCAAACCCTTCTCCACTGGGAAGCGACCCCTGAACCTCAGAGGAGAACACACGGGGCCAGAACACAGGGGGCCAGAACCCCGGCTCCACTCCACGCCGCCGCGGCTAGTAGATATCTAACCCTCCGCGCCTGGCCTGCAGCGTCGGCCGCGCCCCACTCCCACCTCCTCGACGTATGCCGGTGGGTCCCGCTTGATCAGGTTCTGTAACTGCGGCAGGTTGCTGGGCAGTTTGTTGTTGTTCCTGCTAGACATGCTGGCAGCAGACTGGCTCCCCGACGAGCCCTTCTAAGCAAGTTCGCAGAGCCGCCGGCTGCTATAATTAGTCCCAGTCGCGATTTAGACTCTTCCAAGTGAGTGCAGACACTCGGAGGAGGTGCCAGATTGAGTCTTCCGGCGGCTACGGGAGCCTCACGGCACCAAACTTGCTCGCACGGCCGGAATGCTTTCTCGGAGTTTGTACGCTATCTCCCCTACCGTTTGAACAACTGCTACTACTACCTCCACACCTTTATTTTCTTTGACATACATGAGCACATTTCATCATCACAACACTCTTATGGGACAGACAAATGAGGATTAGTAGTTTACTTTTAATCCCACAGCCTAAAGTAAGAAACAAAAAATATGATGTATGCATGTGGGAGTAGTTAGCACTATCCCATTTTAGGGAGGGGAAAAAGAGTTGGGGGATAGTGGTATTTTGGGTATGCTTTAAATATTTGTTTTTATTTATTCACTTGTGTTGTTTCAACTCATCGTGGCCCAGACAAAGGGAAAGGGTGTGTACTGGATATACTATGGTCTTATTGACTGGTTAAAGAATGCAAATTTGTATTAAAAATTTGAACATGTTACAACCTTTGCAAACACTCTTCAACTAGAGTTTTATATTCAAATCCTGAATGTAATTAGAACAGGCAAATTAGTTTCTTCAATTCTATTATATACATAAGTAAACATGGGTAGGTTGAATAAATGAATAGATAAATGAATGAAATTGTGTGTTGCTTTTACCAAAATATGCTGTCACCCACTGTGTTCCTGCACTGTGCAAAGTGCTTTCCTCATATTAAGCTCCTTAATCCTCAGAACATCCCTCTAAAAGAGGCCATTATTATCTTCATTCTACAGGTGAAGAGACAGGCTCAGGGAGGTTGACTGCCCAAGTTCACAGCAGTTGAGGAATCTGGGATTTCAATCCAGGCACTGCTGATTACAACTACAGGAGAAAGAAAAGCAGCCTGGCAGCTGTTGGGTGGTAAGGGGCACCAATGTCAGGACTGTGGTGCTCCCTGTTTAACCTGAGCAGTTTCACAGAAGACCAACTTCAGTCAAGGTCACCAGTAACCATGATAGACTGAGTCCAAAACAAGACAACTCTGGAATCACATCCTGCACAACAAAGAACACACATCACAATGTATTATCCTCTGATTTTGGGAGTAACTATTTTATTTATTATTGAATCAAGTACTTGTGAAGTTAAGAAGTACATGCAAGCAATGAAATCCTTTTCAAAAAAATTCATAGATTTAAAATTTTTTGGTTAAGTTGTATTAGGAAAAAAGCCATTCTCAAAACAAAACATATTGAAATTATTTAATATAATTCTTGTTAAGATCATAGCATGTGCTACAAATATTTATTATAAGTTACCAAAGTGTGGTTTGTGAATCAAACATTCAGACCATGCAACAAGCTTTTATGAAGCATATCTGTATGCCAGGCACTAGGCTAGGGGCTGGAAATACAAAAATTCCAAGCAAAATAATGCTTCCACATAGATCTTGGTACAAAATTTAGGATTCTGGCCAATCCTACAAGGGAGGTTGAAAAATAAAGTCTGCCAGCTGGACCAATGAAAGCTTGAGTAGAGGAAGGAGAAGCCTTGTTTGTTTTGAGAACAATGAAAAGGTTTTGTGAAGATGTTTGTATATGAGATACATCTCGAAGATGGCAGCGTTTTTATATACACGGATACAAAGAGGAGAAAGAAACAACTCAATTAGGGTAGGTAATAATCTCCATAAACGTTTATTAGCATAATTGATTTCAAAAGAACCTTGGGGTGTTCTTGGAGCGTTTATTAGGGGTGCTTAATAAAGCCAATTCTCGCCCCAATTTCATGACTTTGTTATATTTGCAATACACAGTTATGCCATGTGATGATCAACTGAAAATTTTCTTCAAATTGTTGCTAAATATACTCCTTTCATTCATCTGACCCCATCCAACAAATACTATCTGGGAAGGATGGGTTTGATGTACTGGTTATAGTTTTGAATACACATCAAAATAAGATAATATCCCTGAGTTCATCTACAGCCAGCACCTCTACTTTCACATGATCTCTTCCCTTGCATTTAGTTTAGTTTTTGTCAGTGCTGGAGTTTGAACTGAGGCTTTTATGCATGCTAGGCAAGCACTCTACCCAATTGAGCCCTGCCTCCCGCCCTTTTTTGCTTTTAGTTGTTTGGTTTTTTTTTTAACTTCTATTTTATTATTCATATGTGCATACAAGGCTTGGGTCATTTCTCCCCCTGCCCCACCCCTCCCTTACCACCCACTCCCCCCTCCCTCCCCCCCCCTATACCCAGCAGAAACTATTTTGCCCTTATCTCTAATTTTGTTGTAGAGAGAGTATAAGCAATAATAGGAAGGAACAAGGGTTTTTGCTGGTTGAGATAAGGATAGCTATACAGGGCATTGACTCACATTGATTTCCTGTGCATGTGTGTTACCTTCTAGGTTAATTCTTTTTGATCTAACCTTTTCTCTAGTTCCTGGTCCCCTTCTCCTATTGGCCTCAGTTGCTTTTAAGGTATCTGCTTTAGTTTCTCTGCGTTAAGGGCAACAAATGCTAGCTAATTTTTTAGGTGTCTTACCTATCCTCACCCTCCCTTGTGTGCTCTCGCTTTTATTGTGATAAGTCAATCCTTGTTGTGTTTGCCCTTGATCTAATGTCCACATATGAGGAGAACATACGATTTTTGGTCTTTTGGGCCAGGCTAACCTCACTCAGAATGATGTTCTCCAATTCCATCCATTTACCAGCGAATGATAACATTTCGTCTTCTTCATGGCTGCATAAAATTCCATTGGTATAGATAACATCATTTCTTAATCCATTCGTCAGTAGTGGGGCATCTTGGCTGTTTCCATAACTTGGCTATTGTGAATAGGCTGCAATAAACATGGGTGTGCAGGTGCCACTGGAGTAACCTGTGTCACAGTCTTTTGGTATATCCCCAAGAGTGGTATTGCTGGATCAAATGGTAGATCATGTTAGCTTTTTAAGTAGCCTCCAAATTTTTTTCCAGAGTGGTTGTACTAGTTTACATTCCCACCAACAGTGTAAGAGGGTTCCTTTTTCCCCGCATCCTCAACACCTGTTGTGGTGGTGTTGCTAATGATGGCTATTCTAAGGGTGAGGTGGAATCTTAGTGTGGTTTTAATTTGCATTTCTTTATTGCTAGAGATGGTGAGCATTTTTTCATGTGTTTTTGGCCATTTGAATTTCTTCTTTTGAGAAAGTTCTGTTTAGTTCACTTGCCCATTTCTTTATTGGTTCATTAGTTTTGGGAGAATTTAGTTTTTTAAGTTCCCTATATATTCTGGTTATCAGTCCTTTGTCTGATGTGTAGCTGGCAAATATTTTCTCCCACTCTGTGGGTGTTCTCTTCAGTTTAGAGACCATTTCTTTTGATGAACAGAAGCTTTTTAGTTTTATGAGTCCCATTTATCTATGCTATCTTAGTTGCTGTGCTGCTGGGGTTCATTGAGAAAGTTCTTACCTATACCTACTAACTCCAGAGTATTCCTACTCTTTCCTGTATCAACTTTAAGAGTTTGGGGTCTGATATTAAGATCCTTGATCCATTTTGAGTTAATTTGGTATAGGGTGATATACATGGATCTAGTTTCAGTTTTTTGCAGACTGCTAACCAGTTTTCCCAGCAGTTTTTGTTGAAGAGGCTGCTATTTCTCCATCGTATATTTTTAGCTCCTTTGTCAAAGACAAGTTGGTTATAGTTGTGTGGCTTCATATCTGGGTCCTCTATTCTGTTCCACTGGTCTTCATGTCTGTTTTTGTGCCAGTACCATGCTGTTTTTATTTTATTGCTTTGTAATATAGTTTGAAGTCAGGTATTGTGATACCTCCTGCATTGTTCTTTTGACTGAGTATTGCCTTGGCTATTCGTGGCCTCTTGTGTTTCCATATAAATTTACAGTAGATTTTTCAATCTCTTTAATGAATGTCATTGGAATTTTGATGGGAATTGCATTAAACATGTAGATTACTTTGGGAGTATGACATTTTTACTATGTTGATTCTACCAATCCATGAGCATGGGAGATCTCTCCACTTTCTATAGTCTTCCTCAATCTCTTTCTTCAGAGTTATAGTTTTCCTTGTAGAGGTCATTCACATCCTTTTGTTAGGTTTACACCTAGGTATTTGATTTCTTTTGAGGCTATTGTAAATGGAATTGTTTTCATACATTCTTTCTCAGTTTGTTCATTGTTAGTGTATAGAAATGCCAATGATTTTTCTATGTTGATTTTATATCCTGCTACCTGTTATAGCTGTTGATGGTATCTAGAAGTTTCTGAGTAGAGTTTTTTGGGTCTTTAAGGTATAGGATCATGTCATCTGCAAATAGGGATATTTTGACAGTTTCTTTACCTATTTGTATTCCTTTTATTCCTTCTTCTTGCCTAATTGCTCTGGCTAGGAATTCCAGTACTATGTTGAATAGGAGTGGAGATAGTGGGCATCCTTGTCTGGTTCCTGATTTTAGAGGGAATGGTTTCAGTTTTTCTCCATTAAGTATAATGCTGGCTGTAGGTTTGTCATATATAGCTTTTATAATGTTGAGGTACTTTCCTTCTATTCCTAGTTTTCTTAGAGCTTTTATCATGAAATGGTGTTGGATCTTATCAAAGGCTTTTTCTGCATCTATTGAGATGATCAAGTGGTTTTTGGCTTTGCTTCTGTTAATGTGGTTTATTACATTTATTGATTTTTGTAAGTTGAACCACCCCTGCATTCCAGGGATGAAGCCTACTTGGTCATGGTGAATGATATTTTTGATGTGTTGTTGAATTTGGTTTGCCATTATTTTGTTGAGGATTTTTGCATCAATGTTCATTAAGGAGATTGGCCTATAGTTCTTCTTGGAGGTGTCTTTGCCTGGTTTTGGGATAAGTGTAATACTGGATTCATAAAATGTGTTAGACAGTTTTCCTTCCTTTTCTATTTCATGGAACAGTTTAAGGAGGGTTGGTATCAGTTCTTCTTTAAAGGTCTGATAGAATTCAGCAGAGA